GACGGGCTAACATTAGCCCTGGCTGCCGCAGACGTGCTAACATTAGCCCTGGCTGCCGCAGACGTGCTAACGTTAGCCCTGGCTGGTGCAGACGGGCTAACCTTAGCCCTGGCTGGTGCAGACGTGCTAATGTTAGCCCTGGCTGCCGCAGACAGGCTAACGTTATCCCTGGCTGCTGCAGACGGGCTAACCTTAGCCCTGGCTGGTGCAGACGTGCTAACGTTAGCCCTGGCTGGTGCAGACGGGCTAACCTTAGCCCTGGCTGGTGCAGACGTGCTAACGTTAGCCCTGGCTGCTGCAGACGGGCTAACCTTAGCCCTGGCTGGTGCAGACGTGCTAACATTAGCCCTGGCTGGTGCAGACGTGCTAACGTTAGCCCTGGCTGCCGCAGACGGGCTATCGTTAGCCCTGGCCGCTGCAGACGGGCTATCGTTAGCCCTGGCCGCTGCAGACGTGCTAACCTTAGCCCTGGCTGCCGCAGACGGGCTATCGTTAGCCCTGGCTGCCGCTGACGGGCTAACGTTAGCCCTGGCTGCTGCAGACGGGCTAACGTTAGCCCTGGCTGCTGCAGACGGGCTATCGTTAGCCCTGGCTGCCGCAGACGGGCTATCGTTAGCCCTGGCTGCCGCTGACGGGCTAACGTTAGCCCTGGCTGCTGCAGACGGGCTAACGTTAGCTTTGGCTGCAGCAGACGGGCTAACGTTAGCTTTGGCTGCTGCAGACGGGCTAACGTTAGCCCTGGTTACTGCAGATGGGCTAATGTTAGCTTTGGCTGCTGCAGACGGGCTAACGTTAGCCCTGGTTACTGCAGATGGCCCCTCTGTTTATTCACTGAGCACGGTCCCTCTAGCGTTCTTTTAAATCGGTAAATTGCATCTGTCTCTGTCTCACTTTAACCATGAAGACATGTTCCCTTAACCCAGTGGTTACCAAAGATTTTCTTCTGGGCCCCCCTTTGGATTACAATAAAATTTCCAGGCCACCGTGTCACACACGGCTATGCAGAGAAAGGGCTGCTGCAGACGTGCTAACGTTAGCCCTGGCTGCCGCAGACGGGCTAACATTAGCCCTGGCTGCCGCAGACGTGCTAACATTAGCCCTGGCTGCCGCAGACGTGCTAACGTTAGCCCTGGCTGGTGCAGACGGGCTAACCTTAGCCCTGGCTGGTGCAGACGTGCTAATGTTAGCCCTGGCTGGTGCAGACGGGCTAATGTTAGCCCCGGCTGCCGCTGACGGGCTAACGTTAGCCCCGGCTGCCGCTGACGGGCTAACATTAGCCCTGGCCGCTGCAGACGGGCTATCGTTAGCCCTGGCCGCTGCAGACGTGCTAAGGTTAGCCCTGGCTGCCGCAGACGGACTATCGTTAGCCCTGGCCGCTGCAGACGGGCTAATGTTAGCCCTGGCCGCTGCAGACGGGCTAACGTTAGCCCTGGTTACTGCAGATGGGCTAACGTTAGCTTTGGCTGCTGCAGACGGGCTAACGTTAGCCCTGGTTACTGCAGATGGGCTAATGTTAGCTTTGGCTGCTGCAGACGGGCTAACGTTAGCCCTGGTTACTGCAGATGGCCCCTCTGTTTATTCACTGAGCACGGTCCCTCTAGCGTTCTTTTAAATCGGTAAATTGCATCTGTCTCTGTCTCACTTTAACCATGAAGACATGTTCCCTTAACCCAGTGGTTACCAAAGATTTTCTTCTGGGCCCCCCTTTGGATTACAATAAAATTTCCAGGCCACCGTGTCACACACGGCTATGCAGAGAAAGGGCTGCTGCAGACGTGCTAACGTTAGCCCTGGCTGCCGCAGACGGGCTAACATTAGCCCTGGCTGCCGCAGACGTGCTAACATTAGCCCTGGCTGCCGCAGACGTGCTAACGTTAGCCCTGGCTGGTGCAGACGGGCTAACCTTAGCCCTGGCTGGTGCAGACGTGCTAATGTTAGCCCTGGCTGGTGCAGACGGGCTAATGTTAGCCCCGGCTGCCGCTGACGGGCTAACGTTAGCCCCGGCTGCCGCTGACGGGCTAACATTAGCCCTGGCCGCTGCAGACGGGCTATCGTTAGCCCTGGCCGCTGCAGACGTGCTAAGGTTAGCCCTGGCTGCCGCAGACGGACTATCGTTAGCCCTGGCCGCTGCAGACGGGCTAATGTTAGCCCTGGCCGCTGCAGACGGGCTAACGTTAGCCCTGGTTACTGCAGATGGGCTAACGTTAGCTTTGGCTGCTGCAGACGGGCTAACGTTAGCCCTGGCCGCTGCAGACGGGCTAACGTTAGCCCTGGTTGCTGCAGAAGGGCTAACGATAGCTTTGGCTGCTGCAGACGGGCTAACGTTAGCTTTGGCTGCAGCAGACGGGCTAACGTTAGCTTTGGCTGCTGCAGACGGGCTAACGTTAGCCCTGGTTACTGCAGATGGGCTAATGTTAGCTTTGGCTGCTGCAGACGGGCTAACGTTAGCCCTGGTTACTGCAGATGGCCCCTCTGTTTATTCACTGAGCACGGTCCCTCTAGCGTTCTTTTAAATCGGTAAATTGCATCTGTCTCTGTCTCACTTTAACCATGAAGACATGTTCCCTTAACCCAGTGGTTACCAAAGATTTTCTTCTGGGCCCCCCTTTGGATTACAATAAAATTTCCAGGCCACCGTGTCACACACGGCTATGCAGAGAAAGGGCTGCTGCAGACGTGCTAACGTTAGCCCTGGCTGCCGCAGACGGGCTAACATTAGCCCTGGCTGCCGCAGACGTGCTAACATTAGCCCTGGCTGCCGCAGACGTGCTAACGTTAGCCCTGGCTGGTGCAGACGGGCTAACCTTAGCCCTGGCTGGTGCAGACGTGCTAATGTTAGCCCTGGCTGCCGCAGACAGGCTAACGTTATCCCTGGCTGCTGCAGACGGGCTAACCTTAGCCCTGGCTGGTGCAGACGTGCTAACGTTAGCCCTGGCTGGTGCAGACGGGCTAACCTTAGCCCTGGCTGGTGCAGACGTGCTAACGTTAGCCCTGGCTGCTGCAGACGGGCTAACCTTAGCCCTGGCTGGTGCAGACGTGCTAACATTAGCCCTGGCTGGTGCAGACGTGCTAACGTTAGCCCTGGCTGCCGCAGACGGGCTATCGTTAGCCCTGGCCGCTGCAGACGGGCTATCGTTAGCCCTGGCCGCTGCAGACGTGCTAACCTTAGCCCTGGCTGCCGCAGACGGGCTATCGTTAGCCCTGGCTGCCGCTGACGGGCTAACGTTAGCCCTGGCTGCTGCAGACGGGCTAACGTTAGCCCTGGCTGCTGCAGACGGGCTAACGTTAGCCCTGGCTGCCGCAGACGGGCTATCGTTAGCCCTGGCTGCCGCAGACGGGCTATCGTTAGCCCTGGCCGCTGCAGACGGGCTATCGTTAGCCCTGGCTGCCGCAGACGGGCTATCGTTAGCCCTGGCTGCCGCTGACGGGCTAACGTTAGCCCTGGCTGCTGCAGACGGGCTAACGTTAGCCCTGGCTGGTGCAGACGTGCTAACCTTAGCCCTGGCTGCCGCAGACGGGCTAACGTTAGCCCTGGCTGCCGCAGACGGGCTATCGTTAGCCCTGGCCGCTGCAGACGGGCTATCGTTAGCCCTGGCCGCTGCAGACGTGCTAACCTTAGCCCTGGCTGCCGCAGACGGGCTATCGTTAGCCCTGGCTGCCGCTGACGGGCTAACGTTAGCCCTGGCTGCTGCAGACGGGCTAACGTTAGCCCTGGCTGCTGCAGACGGGCTAACGTTAGCCCTGGCTGCCGCAGACGGGCTATCGTTAGCCCTGGCCGCTGCAGACGGGCTAACGTTAGCCCTGGCCGCTGCAGACGGGCTAACGTTAGCCCTGGTTACTGCAGATGGGCTAACGTTAGCTTTGGCTGCTGCAGACGGGCTAACGTTAGCCCTGGCCGCTGCAGACGGGCTAACGTTAGCCCTGGTTGCTGCAGAAGGGCTAACGATAGCTTTGGCTGCTGCAGACGGGCTAATGTTAGCTTTGGCTGCTGCAGACGGGCTAACGTTAGCCCTGGTTACTGCAGATGGGCTAATGTTAGCTGCGGCTGCTGCAGACGGGCTAACGTTAGCCCTGGTTACTGCAGATGGGCTAACGTTAGCTTTGGCTGCTGCAGACGGGCTAACGTTAGCTCTGGCTAATGCAGATGGCCCCTCTGTTTATTAACTGAGCACGGTCCCTCTAGCGTTCTTTTAAATCGGTAAATTGTCTCTCTCTCTGTCTCACTTTAACCATGAAGACATGTTCCCTTAACCCAGTGGTTCCCAAAGATTTTCTTCTGGGCCCCCCTTTGGATTACAATAAAATTTCCAGCCACCCCCCCCCCCCCCCCCCCCCCCCCCCCCCCCCCCCCAATATTTAACTTTGCTATCATCAATACATTAAAAAAGCCTCTGTGCAAAATGGAGTGAAAACATTGAACAGCTCCCTGAGAGTTTTTTCTTTGTACTTTAATCCTCCCATCTTTTCAGTGGCTGTAGTGAGCCTGCTTTTTGCTGTAGATCTTCTCAAATCTGGGTTGCAGTGTCACAACTGTCCATTATGCTCAGTCAAGCAAGCACTGTTTTTTTTGTTTTTTTTTTTCTTAATTAGTCCATACCGCTTCCCGCGGCCCCCCTGTAATGGCATTGCGCCCCCCATAGGGGGCACGCCCCACACTTTGGGAACCACTGCCTTAACCTTTAGATGTTGGTTCTGTTCTTTAAAGTTTAATCATAATAATCGTCATGTTTCTGTCTGCAGCTGTTGTTGCTATGCCAACAGACCTGGAAGCTATGCACATGATGCTACATGAACAGCATGTTGTTGAAGAACCTGATGGTACCAGCTGGGGTTTACTGGGATCTAACTGGATTCAGTTTCCTTTATAGAACCTTCAGACATCAGTCAGTGATAAGTTAGTGGTTAACTAGATCATCCAGGTAGTTAGAGCTACAGGTGAGATCAGCTAGTCAGTCATTCAGTGATGGATTACCAATGTGATCAGGAACCATGTCATCTACCTGGATAGCTTCCTGAGGAACCTTGACAGCAGCACCCTGTTACCCGGCAACAGACCAGGTGGGTGGGGGGCGTGGCTTAGGTCCAGGTATACACTGAGACTCCACCCACTTTGGTCACATACAGTCAGGCGAACACCTGAAAAACAGACCTGGTTAGATGTGGATCCCTGCAGGGTTCTACAAATCTGTTGGTTCTACCCGAGGTTTGAATGGTTCTACCTGAGGTTTGAATGGTTCTACCAGAGGTTTAAATGGTTCCACCCGAGGTTTAAATGGTTCTACCCGAGGTTTGAATGGTTCTACCTGAGGTTTAAATGGTTCTACCTGAGGTTTGAATGGTTCTACCCGAGGTTTAAATGGTTCTACCAGAGGTTTGAATGGTTCTACCAGAGGTTTCAATGGTTCTACCCGAGGTTTGAATGGTTCCACCAGAGGTTTAAATGGTTCTACCAGAGGTTTGAATGGTTCTACCGGAGGTTTGAATGGTTCTACCCGAGGTTTGAATGGTTCTACCCGAGGTTTAAATGGTTCTACCCGAGGTTTTAATGGTTCTACCAGAGGTTTCAATGGTTCTACCCGAGGTTTGAATGGTTCTACCCGAGGTTTAAATGGTTCTACCAGAGGTTTAAATGGTTCTACCCGAGGTTTAAATGGTTCTACCCGAGGTTTGAATGGTTCTACCTGAGGTTTAAATGGTTTTACCTGAGGTTTGAATGGTTCCACCTGAGGTTTAAATGGTTCCACCCGAGGTTTAAATGGTTCTACCTTATGGTTAAATGGTTTTACCTGAGGTTTGAATGGTTCCACCCGAGGTTTCAATGGTTCTATGTGAGGTTTAAATGGTTCTACCCGAAGTTTCAATGGTTCTACCCGAGGTTTCAATGGTTCTACCCGAGGTTTCAATGGTTCTACCCGAGGTTTAAATGGTTCTACCCAAGGTTTGAATGGTTCTACCTGAGGTTTGAATGGTTCTACCCCAGGTTTAAATGGTTCTACCCGAGGTTTGAATGGTTCTACCCCAGGTTTGAATGGTTCTACCCGAGGTTTCGATGGTTCTACCCGAGGTTTCAATGGTTCTACCTGAGGTTTAAATGGTTCTACCTGAGGTTTAAATGGTTCTACCTGATGGTTAAATGGTTTTACCTGAGGTTTCAATGGTTCTACCCGAGGTTTAAATGGTTCTACCAGAGGTTTAAATGGTTCTACCCGAGGTTTGAATGGTTCTACCAGAGGTTTCAATGGTTCTACCCGAGGTTTAAATGGTTCCACCCGAGGTTTGGATGGTTCTACCCGAGGTTTGAATGGTTCTACCGGAGGTTTGAATGGTTCTACCCGAGGTTTGAATGGTTCCACCCGAGGTTTGAATGGTTCTACCCGAGGTTTGAATGGTTCTACCCGAGGTTTCAATGGTTCTACCCGAGGTTTAAATGGTTCTACCAGAGGTTTAAATGGTTCTACCCGAGGTTTGAATGGTTCTACCCGAGGTTTGAATGGTTCTACCCGAGGTTTGAATGGTTCTACCAGAGGTTTCAATGGTTCTACCAGAGGTTTAAATGGTTCTACCAGAGGTTTCAATGGTTCTACCAGAGGTTTCAATGGTTCTACCAGAGGTTTCAATGGTTCTACCCGAGGTTTGAATGGTTCTACCCGAGGTTTGAATGGTTCTACCCGAGGTTTGAATGGTTCTACCCGAGGTTTGAATGGTTCTACCCGAGGTTTGAATGGTTCCACCCGAGGTTTGAATGGTTCTACCCGAGGTTTGAATGGTTCTACCGGAGGTTTGAATGGTTCTACCCGAGGTTTGAATGGTTCTACCGGAGGTTTGAATGGTTCTACCCGAGGTTTAAATGGTTCTACCCGAGGTTTCAATGGTTCTACCCGAGGTTTAAATGGTTCTACCCGAGGTTTGAATGGTTCTACCCGAGGTTTAAATGGTTCTACCTGATGTTTAAATGGTTCTACCTGAGGTTTAAATGGTTCTACCCCAGGTTTAAATGGTTTTACCTGAGGTTTGAATGGTTCCACCCGAGGTTTGAATGGTTCTACCCGAGGTTTAAATGGTTCTACCAGAGGTTTCAATGGTTCTACCCGAGGTTTGAATGGTTCTACCCGAGGTTTCAATGGTTCTACCCGAGGTTTGAATGGTTCTACCCGAGGTTTCAATGGTTCTACCCGAGGTTTAAATGGTTCTACCAGAGGTTTAAATGGTTCTACCCGAGGTTTGAATGGTTCTACCCGAGGTTTGAATGGTTCTACCCGAGGTTTCAATGGTTCTACCCGAGGTTTCAATGGTTCTACCCGAGGTTTGAATGGTTCTACCAGAGGTTTAAATGGTTCTACCAGAGGTTTGAATGGTTCTACCAGAGGTTTCAAAGGTTCAACCTGATGTTTAAATGGTTCCACCTGAGGTTTAAATGGTTCTACCTGATGGTTAAATGGTTTTACCTGAGGTTTCGATGGTTCTACCCGAGGTTTCGATGGTTCTACCCGAGGTTTCAATGGTTCTACCCGAGGTTTCAATGGTTCTACGCGAGGTTTGAATGGTTCTACGCGAGGTTTGAATGGTTCTACCAGAGGTTTGAATGGTTCTACCAGAGGTTTAAATGGTTCTACCAGAGGTTTCAATGGTTCTACCAGAGGTTTCAATGGTTCTACCCGAGGTTTCAATGGTTCTACCCGAGGTTTAAATGGTTGTACCCAAGGTTTGAATGGTTTTACCTGAGGTTTCGATGGTTCTACCTGATGTTTAAATGGTTCCACCTGAGGTTTAAATGGTTCTACCCCAGGTTTAAATGGTTCTACCTGATGGTTAAATGGTTTTACCTGAGGTTTGAACGGTTCCACCCGAGGTTTGAATGGTTCTACCCGAGGTTTAAATGGTTCCAACCGAGGTTTGAATGGTTCTACCCAAGGTCTGAATGGTTCTACCAGAGGTTTAAATGGTACTACCAGAGGTTTGAATGGTTCTACCGGAGGTTTGAATGGTTCTACCCGAGGTTTGAATGGTTCTACCGGAGGTTTAAATGGTTCTACCCGAGGTTTTAATGGTTCTACCAGAGGTTTCAATGGTTCTACCCGAGGTTTGAATGGTTCCACCCGAGGTTTAAATGGTTCTACCAGAGGTTTAAATGGTTCTACCCGAGGTTTAAATGGTTCTACCCGAGGTTTGAATGGTTCTACCTTATGGTTAAATGGTTTTACCTGAGGTTTGAATGGTTCCACCTGAGGTTTAAATGGTTCTACCTTATGGTTAAATGGTTTTACCTGAGGTTTGAATGGTTCCACCCGAGGTTTCAATGGTTCCATGTGAGGTTTCGATGGTTCTACGCGAAGTTTCAATGGTTCTACGCGAGGTTTCAATGGTTCTACGCGAGATATCGATGGTTCTACCCGAGGTTTAAAGGGTTCTACCCAAGGTTTGAATGGTTTTACCTGAGGTTTGAATGGTTCTACCCAAGGTTTGAATGGTTCTACCCCAGGTTTGAATGGTTCTACCCCAGGTTTGAATGGTTTTACCTGAGGTTTCGATGGTTCTACCCGAGGTTTCAAAGGTTCAACCTGATGTTTAAATGGTTCCACCTGAGGTTTAAATGGTTCTACCTGATGGTTAAATGGTTTTACCTGAGGTTTCGATGGTTCTACCCGAGGTTTCGATGGTTCTACCAGAGGTTTAAATGGTTCTACCCGAGGTTTGAATGGTTCTACCAGAGGTTTCAAAGGTTCAACCTGATGTTTAAATGGTTCCACCTGAGGTTTAAATGGTTCTACCCGAGGTTTGAATGGTTCTACCTGAGGTTTGAATGGTTCTACCCGAGGTTTCGATGGTTCTACCCGAGGTTTCAATGGTTCTACCCGAGGTTTCAATGGTTCTACCCGAGGTTTGAATGGTTCTACCCGAGGTTTGAATGGTTCTACCAGAGGTTTGAATGGTTCTACCCGAGGTTTGAATGGTTCTACCCCAGGTTTGAATGGTTCTACCCGAGGTTTGAATGGTTCTACCCGAGGTTTCAAAGGTTCAACCTGATGTTTAAATGGTTCCACCTGAGGTTTAAATGGTTCTACCTGATGGTTAAATGGTTTTACCTGAGGTTTCGATGGTTCTACCCGAGGTTTCGATGGTTCTACCCGAGGTTTCAATGGTTCTACCCGAGGTTTCAATGGTTCTACGCGAGGTTTCAATGGTTCTACCAGAGGTTTGAATGGTTCTACCAGAGGTTTAAATGGTTCTACCCGAGGTTTGAATGGTTCTACCAGAGGTTTCAAAGGTTCAACCTGATGTTTAAATGGTTCCACCTGAGGTTTAAATGGTTCTACCTGATGGTTAAATGGTTTTACCTGAGGTTTCGATGGTTCTACCCGAGGTTTCGATGGTTCTACCCGAGGTTTCAATGGTTCTACCCGAGGTTTCAATGGTTCTACGCGAGGTTTGAATGGTTCTACCAGAGGTTTGAATGGTTCTACCAGAGGTTTGAATGGTTCTACCAGAGGTTTGAATGGTTCTACCCGAGGTTTGAATGGTTCTACCAGAGGTTTCAATGGTTCTACCCGAGGTTTCAATGGTTCTACCCGAGGTTTCAATGGTTCCACCCGAGGTTTAAATGGTTCCACCCGAGGTTTAAATGGTTCTACCCGAGGTTTAAATGGTTCTACCCGAAGTTTGAAAAATTCTACCCGAGGTTTGAATGGTTTTACCTGAGGTTTGAATGATTCCACCCGAGGTTTCAATGGTTCTACGTGAGGTTTCAATGGTTCGACTAGAGGTTTCAATGGTTCTACGCGAGGTTTCAATGGTTCTACGTGAGGTTTCAATGGTTCGACTAGAGGTTTCAATGGTTCTACCCGAGGTTTCAATGGTTCTACCCGAGGTTTCAATGGTTCTACCCGAGGTTTCAATGGTTCTACCCGAGGTTTCAATGGTTCTACGTGAGGTTTCAATGGTTCGACTAGAGGTTTCAATGGTTCTACGCGAGGTTTCAATGGTTCTACCCGAGGTTTCAATGGTTCTACCCGAGGTTTCAATGGTTCTACCCAAGGTCTGAATGGTTCTACCAGAGGTTTAAATGGTTCTACCCGAGGTTTAAATGGTTCCAACCGAGGTTTAAATGGTTCTACCCAAGGTCTGAATGGTTCTACCAGAGGTTTAAATGGTTCTACCAGAGTTTTAAATGGTTCTACCCGAGGTTTGAATGGTTCTACCCGAGGTTTGAATGGTTCTACCCGAGGTTTGAATGGTTCTACCCGAGGTTTAAATGGTTCTACCGGAGGTTTAAATGGTTCTACCCGAGGTTTGAATGGTTCTACCAGAGGTTTCAATGGTTCTACCCGAGGTTTGAATGGTTCCACCCGAGGTTTAAATGGTTCTACATGAGGTTTGAATGGTTCTACCCGAGGTTTAAATGGTTCTACCCAAGGTCTGAATGGTTCTACCCATGGTCTGAATGGTTCTACCAGAGGTTTCAATGGTTCTACCAGAGGTTTCAATGGTTCTACCAGAGGTTTCAATGGTTCTACCAGAGGTCTCAATGGTTCTACCAGAGGTTTCAATGGTTCTACCAGAGGTCTCAATGGTTCTACCCGAGGTTTGAATGGTTCCACCAGAGGTTTAAATGGTTCTACCCGAGGTTTGAATGGTTCTACCAGAGGTTTGAATGGTTCCACCCGAGGTTTGGATGGTTCCACCCGAGGTTTGAATGGTTCTACCGGAGGTTTGAATGGTTCTACCGGAGGTTTGAATGGTTCCACCCGAGGTTTGAATGGTTCTACCGGAGGTTTAAATGGTTCTACCCGAGATTTCAATGGTTCTACCCGAGGTTTAAATGGTTGTACCCAAGGTTTGAATGGTTTTACCCGAGGTTTAAATGGTTCTACCCAAGGTCTGAATGGTTCTACCCATGGTCTGAATGGTTCTACCATAGGTTTCAATGGTTCTACCAGAGGTTTCAATGGTTCTACCAGAGGTTTCAATGGTTCTACCCGAGGTTTGAATGGTTCCACCAGAGGTTTGAATGGTTCTACCAGAGGTTTGAATGGTTCTACCAGAGGTTTAAATGGTTCTACCCGAGGTTTCGATGGTTCTACCCGAGGTTTAAATGGTTCTACCCAAGGTTTGAATGGTTCTACCCGAGGTTTGAATGGTTCTACCCGAGGTTTGAATGGTTCTACCCGAGGTTTAAATGGTTCTACCTGATGTTTAAATGGTTCCACCTGAGGTTTAAATGGTTCTACCTGAGGTTTAAATGGTTTTACCTGAGGTTTCGATGGTTCAACCTGATGTTTAAATGGTTCTACCTGAGGTTTAAATGGTTCTACCCGAGGTTTAAATGGTTCTACCCGAGGTTTCAAAGGTTCAACCTGATGTTTAAATGGTTCCACCTGAGGTTTAAATGGTTCTACCTGATGGTTAAATGGTTTTACCTGAGGTTTCGATGGTTCTACCCGAGGTTTCGATGGTTCTACCCGAGGTTTGAATGGTTCAACCCGAGGTTTAAATGGTTCCACCTGAGGTTTAAATGGTTCTACCTGAGGTTTAAATGGTTCTACCTGAGGTTTCGATGGTTCTACCCGAGGTTTCAATGGTTCTACCGGAGGTTTCAATGGTTCTACCCGAGGTTTCAATGGTTCTACGCGAGGTTTCAATGGTTCTACCAGAGGTTTCAATGGTTCTACCAGAGGTTTCAATGGTTCTACCAGAGGTTTAAATGGTTCTACCAGAGGTTTCAATGGTTCTACCCGAGGTTTCAATGGTTCTACCAGAGGTTTCAATGGTTCTACCAGAGGTTTAAATGGTTCTACCTGAGGTTTCAATGGTTCTATGCGAGGTTTCAATGGTTCTACCCGAGGTTTCAATGGTTCTACCCGAGGTTTCAATGGTTCTATGCGAGGTTTCAATGGTTCTACCAGAGGTTTCAATGGTTCTACCCGAGGTTTCAATGGTTCTACCCGAGGTTTCAATGGTTCTACCAGAGGTTTCAATGGTTCTACCCGAGGTTTCAATGGTTCTACCCGAGGTTTCAATGGTTCTACCAGAGGTTTCAATGGTTCTACCCGAGGTTTAAATGGTTCTACCCAAGGTTTCAATGGTTCTACCTGAGGTTTAAATGGTTCTACCTGAGGTTTAAATGGTTCCACCTGAGGTTTAAATGGTTCTACCTGAGGTTTAAATGGTTCTACCTGATGGTTAAATGGTTTTACCTGAGGTTTGAATGGTTCCACCCGAGGTTTGAATGGTTCTACCCGAGGTTTCAATGGTTCTACGCGAGGTTTCAATGGTTCTACGCGAGGTTTCAATGGTTCTACCCGAGGTTTCAATGGTTCTACCAGAGGTTTCAATGGTTCTACCAGAGGTTTCAATGGTTCTACCCGAGGTTTGAATGGTTCTATGCGAGGTTTCAATGGTTCTACCCGAGGTTTCAATGGTTCTACCAGAGGTTTCAATGGTTCTACCTGAGGTTTCAATGGTTCTACCCGAGGTTTCAATGGTTCTACCCGAGGTTTCAATGGTTCTACCTGAGGTTCTGGGTCCAGCGTGTTCCTTCCCGTCCATCAGACTCAGCCTATCGGAGATCAGGCCCATGAAGGTCACCGTCTCTGACCTGAAACACAGCACCATTCAGCTGCAGTTCCTCTGGCAGCCACAGAGGGAGACAGAGGCTGATGATTACCTGCAGTCCAGCACCTGAGACACTGACATCACCAGAGGGGGCGGGGCCTGGGGAGGCAGAGGATCAATAGATCATTAAGTCAAACGGAGTCCATGGTTCTGGTTCTGGATCTAGTGTCAGGTTACCTGGGTCCAGGTGGGGAGCAGCAGAGGGCGGGTCAGAGTGTAGAACCTCCAGTCAGGTTGAACCTGCAGGGTGGAGTCAGCGTGGAGCTCCACCCCTTTCTTGCTATGAACCCTGCAGCCAATCAGAACGCTGGGATCCTGCTGATCAGAAGCACAGGTTGGAAACTTCTCTGGTATCCATGGCAACAACAATTCTTCTATGTGTCAGATAATATTTCCATGAATAGGATTTCATGAATCCTAATCCTAAAGTCATTCCTTTCACCCCATGAAATTGATTAATCTATTTATGTGCAATTTGAAATAATTTCAGTAGTTCTTCATGTGCTGCAAAAATAAATAAATACAAATAAAATGATCTGCATCTCACTCATATTAAACAAACTAACAAAAATAAATCTCATGTCCTCTTAACTGTGTTGTAGAATCCTCTCCCTATAAATATTTAATTCTCTGTGAAAAAGTGCAGATCATTCTTTATTAGATCCTCCTCTAACGGACAGGAAATGTTTGTTTTTAAAACCTAATGTGTCCAAACAACCGGGTGAATAATATTTTTTTCTTGTTGTTTTCTGAGTAAATCGGGAAATAAAACAGCGTGCTGGGATGTAGGGAGAGCAGAGACAATGTGTATTACTGAGGGCATGTTGGCCTGACGCCGTATGCTGAGCTGACAGAACATCAGACAGCAGCGGAGCAAAGAATCATCCCACGTTGATTACTTTCTTATGATTGGCTTAAACAAAGGAGCTCTATGATTGGCTGCAAGCCATCCCGTTTAAAAAAATGCATTTGTGTACCAAGGTTCGTCAGGAGAGTGAAAACACCAAACACAGATGCAGTGAAGCTTAAAGACCACAGGTACTTTGTAATTTAATTTATAATTGTTTATGGAGCAGAAATAATTTGGTGAATCATGTGCTGTGCGTGCATCACTTATGTGTACTTGTGAAAATTGAGGCCGATTCAGCTCCCTAGTTTGGACTGGTACCAGTTCTGTGGGAATGTCTCTGACATCATCACACGTTCTGTACCTGAGTGTTGGCGGCTGTGAGTCTGTAGAAACATCCAGAATGGAGAACCGGAAACCAGCGAGCAGAACCGCCTGAGAACAGCAGCAGAACCTGCAGTGCAGAGAGCAGAGGGTCAGAGACGGTTCCGGTAGAACCTGAACCTAAACTGTTAGTCAGTCTGCAGGGGCTAGGGCTAACGTTAGCCTGTCTGCAGCGACCAGGGCTAATGTTAGCCCGTCTGCATGGGCCAGGGCTAACGTTAGCCTGTCTGCAGCGACCAGGGCTAATGTTAGCCCGTCTGCAGCGGCCAGGGCTAATGTTAGCCCGTCTGCAGCGGCCAGGGCTAATGTTAGCCCGTCTGCAGCGGCCAGGGCTAATGTTAGCCCGTCTGCAGCGGCCAGGGATAATGTTAGCCCGTCTGCAGCGGCCGGTGCTTATGTTAGCCCGTCTGCAGCGGCCAGGGATAATGTTAGCCCGTCTGCAGCGGCCAGGGATAATGTTAGCCCGTCTGCAGCGGCCAGGGATAATGTTAGCCCGTCTGCAGCGGCCAGGGCTAATGTTAGCCCGTCTGCAGCGGCCGGTGCTTATGTTAGCCCGTCTGCAGCGGCCGGTGCTTATGTTAGCCCGTCTGCAGCGGCCAGGGATAATGTTAGCCCGTCTGCAGCGGCCAGGGCTAATGTTAGCCCGTCTGCAGGGGCCAGGGATATTGTTAGCCCATCTGCCTCAACCAGGGCTAACGTTAGCCCGTCTGCAGGGGCCAGGGCTAACATTAGCCCATCTTCAGCGGCCAGGGCTAATGTTAGCCCGTCTTCCTCAACCAGGGCTAACGTTAGCCCGTCTGCAGGGGCCTGGGCTAATGTTAGCCCGTCTGCAGGGGCCAGGGCTAACATTAGACGGGCTAACATTAGCTAACGTTAGCCCGTCTGCATGGGCCAGGGCTAATGTTAGCCCGTCTGCATGGGCCAGGGCTAATGTTAGCCCGTCTGCAGCAGCCAGGGATATCGTTAGCCCGTCTGCAGGGGCCAGGGATAATGTTAGCCCGTCTGCAGCAGCCAGGGATAATGTTAGCCCGTCTGCAGGGGCCAGCGATATCGTTAGCCCGTCTGCAGGGGCCAGGGATATTGTTAGCCCGTCTGCCTCAACCAGGGCTAACGTTAGCCCGTCTGCAGGGGCCAGGGCTAACGTTAGCCCGTCTGCAGGGGCCAGGGCTAATGTTAGCCCGTCTGCAGCGACCAGGGCTAACGTTAGCCCGTCTGCAGGGGCCAGGGCTAATGTTAGCCCGTTTGCAGCGACCAGGGCTAACGTTAGCCCGTCTGCAGGGGCCAGGGCCAACATTAGACGGATTTACATTAGCTAACGTTAGCCCATCTGCAGGGGCCTGGGCTAATGTTAGCCGTCTGCAGGGGCCAGGGCTAACCTTAGCCCTTCTGCAGGGGCCAGGGCTAATGTTAGCCCGTCTTCAGCGGCCAGTGCTAACATTAGCCCGTCTGCAGTAGCAAAGCAGAGTTACAGCCAAGTACGTGGGGCGTCACTGTGTTGCCAAAGCAACAGCTGCTCTCCCTTTCGTCATCCCATTCAGGTTTGACCCCCTCCACCTTTTAATCATGGCGCCTCCATCTGGGCGTGGTCTATATTAGGAGATGCACTAACTGCTAGTGTCCCTAGTGGTTAGCGAGCGGTTTGGGATTCAGCCTCAACCTGGAACCTTCTGACCTAACTCTCACCTCCTCTTTCCTCTGAGGCTCCACCTCCCTCTGCATCATTGGTTCGTTCTTTGGGTCCCGCCCCCAGCAGACCGCTGGACCAATCAGAAGAGCTGTAGTTGAGAATCCTAGGTCAAGCCCCGCCCCCTCCTCGTTGGTCATGGTCCTTGTGTTCCTCCAGGCCACGCCCCCCTTAGCCATCACTTGAATCACCACGGAGACACAGTCCTGGGAGGCCCCGTCCTCAGGGACCGTTGTCATGGTTACATCTGCACCATCCTCATCTGCTGCTGTCCCCTGTGTGACATCACATCCTGACTCCTGCCTCTTCCTCCTCAGGTGTGTAACCATGGAGACAGAGGGGCTGAGGATGAGGAGGTGGTCCAGAGAGAACTGCAGGTAAACCCTGTGAGACAGAAACAGGTAGAGTTAATAAGCCCCGCCCCCTCAACCTGCTAGATGTTCTAATCAGCCGAGGCCTGAACCAGGAAGCAGGATTACTGGGTTAACCAGATAACTTCAGGTTTAACCACCAAGCTGGACTCCTTCTCAGAGAGGCTGGTCACCATGGTAACGTAGTCTGCATAGCTAACCTGCATCAGTGCAGGCTAGCATTCAGGACGGATCTGAATCCATCCAGCAGCCATTCAGCTCTTCTTTGATTGGAGAACTGATTTAATTCAGAGGGAACCGAAAATAAACTAAACAATAAGGAACCTGGAAAACCAAAAAGCAGGTAAAACTAAAAACAGCCAGAAGGAGGCTGTAATGTTGGAGTGAAACGGATCATTGATCATCAGAGTCTGAATGAGACTGAAACACAAATATTATGCTGTTTCAGGTCAGCATTTAAAGTCTGTTACTAAATCAGAGCACATCTTAACAATTCGAATCCACCATTGAAGACTACCTTAGAGAGGTAGAACGCTGTCTTTTAGACTTACCCCATCCCTCCACCCGGGAGAAGTTAAAGCTAATCTGGAAAACTACTTCAAGAAGCGTGCATGTGTTCATAGAGAGCCTCCAGCCCAGTCCGCTATTCCTCTCTTTGTCAAGCACTGAGAGAGGAATATTCAGTGCACACTGATCCGGGCTCCGCGATGTACAGTGCCCTCGGCATCCAACAGAAAAGAAATGAATCGCCGAGAGATTATTACCGTCGGTTGCGAGCCGCATATTTTCAGGGGCGCAGCGCCCCTGGGCTGGAGGAAGACCACTCGCTGAAATATCTTTTCCTGCACAATCTTCACGACAGCATAAGATATGATGTTACCATGTACTGCCGAACCAAAACCCTCACCATGCAGGAAATAAGGAAATATGCACAGATTGCATGGGAAACGCGCGTCCGCACCAGCGAGGGTACAGATAGCGAACACAGGGTCCTACAGGTTCAGGCAGAATCAGGGAGAAAGTTAGAGTTGGAGGGACAAGAGGTTCCTCCTTCCAAAGCCAGACTTAAACACGGATCACGCAACCGTGATCCCGGCCCACAAGAAAGGAGAGCTTTCCAGGATTGGAGGAGTTCACAGAATAGAGAGGACAGTGGGTTCCAAACGAGGTACAGATCAGAGATGAGCCGATATGACAGACAGCCTGACCAGAGGAAGCTTAAGAAAGGGTGTGAAGGAAGAGATCAGGATGAGAAGCTAGAGCAGTCAGCCATGAAGGAGATGGAAGCTAACCTCCGTAGGTTGTTAACAGAAATGGTTCGTCAGATCGACAACCCCTCTCAAGACCCAGCTGGACATGAAAATCCTCCAGGAAAACCTGACCCGAAGCCTCCATCAGCATGACTAGGCGGGGACTTACCTTCCACAGCTTCCTTATTACACTTAGTGGAAAAGGAAGGTCCAGGTGGGAAGCCTCCGGAATCCCTTCATCTGGAAAAACCCTTTATTTTGGTCTACCTCTTTTCAGAAAAGACCAATCCCCACTCAGAAAAACATCCCTACCAGGAAGTCAGTAACATTTCTCAGGATGTAAGATCAGAAAGCAACTGATGTTCAAGGCTACACGATTGAAAGTACTAAAAATAAAAGACCAATATTGATCTGTTTAGTGTTTAAGAAATGACTGTTAGTTAATAAACAGTTGATGAGAAGTTGCTGGCCTTCAGTGTGTATCATGGTGGGGGTCCGTTGTCCCCCGGGGGGTGGGGGTGGGGGGATAAGCATCTCCCTGAAATGAGTTTTTGGAACTTGGAATGTCTGGTAATGATGATAGGATAAACCAACCAACCCTTTGATGAATATGATAAAATAACCCCAATAAAATCTGCTGGTTAATGTTCCATGGTAAAGTTAGTTTATAAACACAGCTGCTGCTACCCATGAACTTCATGCTAGCGCTAGTGGCTAATGATGATTGTTTCTAGCCTACACTGAGTGCATCTCCTCTCTGACAGCATTTCTAATGGTTCATCATTTTTCCACAATGAGCTCAGTAGTCCGGTGTTACCCTGCAGCATCTGGAAGACTGAATAGATCTGATCAGCAACTTACAATAACTTCTGATCATGATATAACGTGAAAATATGTGTGATTGACTGTGACCTCTCTCTCTCTCTCCCTACCTCTCTCTCTCTCTCTCTCCCTACCTCTCTCTCTCTCCCTACCTCTCTCTCTCTCTCTCTCTCTCCCTACCTCTCTCTCTCTCTCTCTCCCTACCTCTCTCTCTCTCCCTACCTCTCTCTCTCTCTCTCTCTCTCTCTCCCTACCTCTCTCTCTCTCCCTACCTCCAAATTGTGCGGAACTATTTAGAGCAGAAGCAGGCAGCTGGTATTCTATCTGTAATGGAGAGGCCAGCGCAGTCACCAGATCTGAACCCCTTGGTGAATAAGTGGGACTTTTCAGGAAAACACTAATTTGTTTGGGTGACCCCAAACCTTTGAAAGGCAGTGTATGTATAAAGAATATATCTGCAAAATCTCTAATATTCAACAACAAAAAATACTTAGTTTAGCATATTGTGCAAAACAGCAATAAAAAATTAAGCTCCTATCAGATTTATAGTCCCCCCCTGCAGATCTATTAGAATCTGTCCTTAAATTCCAGCCAAACCCATTTAATCAGTAACAGATAAAAACCTTTAGATAAACCAAACATTACCGCCACATATCTGACTCTATAACCATTAAAACAACTATTTTCATTCATTTCAGACGGAACTATTCACAGACTGGATTATATTAAACTGAACTTCCAATTTTCACCACTGTTCGGCGCCAAGTAACCTTTCCTCTGATCACAGCTTGCTTGGTCTCGCAATGAATCCTGGGTAAACCAAGGATAGCGAGGATACATTGGACCCGTCCTTCAAATCGGGCAAAAAGAAGGACGCATTTTAAGGCCGCATAACGAGAACTCTTGGAATCCGACCAGACCTCGGCGCCGCGCTATGACGTAATCGGCCTTCGAATCCGGTCTTCTAAGGACGCAGCCCAGGAATTCGAATAGAGAAAGTATGACTAATCACTTCCTGCATTGACATGATAACTGATCACTTCCTGTATTAATATGATGTCTGCTCATTTCCAGCGGTCCTGTTGTAGTGATAATTATAAAATTATTGTGTGGGCATATGAAACACTGAAAGAAAGAAGATGCTACATTTGTATCCTGTGATTCAATCAGGAGGGTCATAAACTTTTATGACCTCCAGTAGGTCATGAGGCAGAATCACAGGTTGTGTGACTTCCATCCAGCCAGATGGTCATTTCACACTATCTTATTACCTGCATCCTCCCAGATAATCATTACTGGCTCTTCTGTTTTAGGCCCGCCTTATGATGTTGTAAACTGTTAATAAAAGGCTTTGCCATGAAGGGATCTGTGTGAGAAGGTGCTGGTTTCTGAGCCAACACCTTCTCTCCGCTTCTGCAGAGGCTGACGTCATTACAAAACCCTGTCTCTGTGTTGATTATTTCCTCTTAATCTTTTAAACTCACATTTCTCTGGATTAAAACCCAACAGGTCCCCATGTGAACAAATACCTACTGGTTCTGTTCCAGACTGCGTACCTGCTGGTTCTGCTGGTGATGAAGCGGTCCTGGTCCAGGTGCTGGTAGGACGGGAACTCTGATTGGAGGAACCTCTCCGTTACCATGGTGAACCTCCGCACACACACCAGGCATCCTGGAACACACACAGGTTCAATAAACCTCTGAGTACTTTGATCCAGAACATCCACAGAGAGACTATCACCATGGCAACGGTCTGAATGGATCTGCCCCCTCCCCCACTCATTGCTGACAAGGATAGACAGGCTTTCAGAACCAGATGTTGGATCAGCAGCAGAAACTGGGCCTGGATCCAGTAAAGGTGGAGATGCTAAGCTAACAGAACCTTCTGGACTTCAGGTCAGCATCTTCAGAACGGGTCAGGATTCTACCAGGACCGCCTCAATCAGGGTTAACTGGGCTTCATTCTGGTCTCAAAGGTTATCTTTAAGGGTTCTCATCTGACCTTAATCCTGAAAATCTGGCAACAGCTGCAGAACCTGAAGGTTCTGTTATTTCATCTTCTCTCTGGGTCAGAAGGATTCAGAGGGGTCTCGCAGGTTCTGGTTGGTTCAGCTTAATCTCTCTGTAGTAGTTTTTAAATCTGGGTATAGTTCTGCTGTTGGATTATCTGATGGCTTCATGTTTAGAGCAGCTCTGAATGTTAAAATGATCCATTGTTCCATTTCTGGTGACTCAGAACCAAACGCCACAGAGCTGAAATCCGACCACCTGTTCATACTGACCCTATCAGGACCAGATCTGGGTCCTGGTTGGTCATACTGACCCTATCAGGACCAGATCTGGGTCCTGGTTGTTCATACTGACCCTATCTGAACCAGATCTGGGTCCTGGTTGTTCATACTGACCCTATCAGGACCAGATCTGGGTCCTGGTTGTTCATACTGACCCTATCAGGACCAGATCTGGGTCCTGGTTGTTCATACTGACCCATCAGGACCAGATCGGGGTCCTGGTTGTTCATACTGACCCTATCAGAACCAGATCTGGATCCTGGTTGTTCATACTGACCCTATCAGGACCAGATCTGGGTCCTGGTTGTTCATACTGACCCTATCAGGACCAGATCTGGGTCCTGGTTGTTCATACTGACCCATCAGGACCAGATCTGGGTCCTGGTTGTTCATACTGACCCTATCAGAACCAGATCTGGATCCTGGTTGTTCATACTGACCCTATCAGGACCAGATCTGGGTCCTGGTTGTTCATACTGACCCTATCAGGACCAGATCTGGGTCCTGGTTGTTCATACTGACCCTATCAGAACCAGATCTGGGTCCTGGTTGTTCATACTGACCCTATCAGGACCAGATCTGGGTCCTGGTTGTTAATACTGACCCTATCAGGACCAGATCTGGGTCCTGGTTGTTCATACTGACCCTATCAGGACCAGATCTGGGTCCTGGTTGTTCATACTGACCCTATCAGGACCAGATCGGGGTCCTGGTTGTTCATACTGACCCTATCAGGACCAGATCTGGGTCCTGGTTGTTCATACTGACCCATCAGGACCAGATCTGGGTCCTGGTTGTTCATACTGACCCTATCAGAACCAGATCTGGATCCTGGTTGTTCATACTGACCCTATCAGGACCAGATCTGGGTCCTGGTTGTTCATACTGACCCTATCAGGACCAGATCTGGGTCCTGGTTGTTCATACTGACCCTATCTGAACCAGATCTGGGTCCTGGTTGTTCATACTGACCCTATCAGGACCAGATCTGGATCCTGGTTGTTCATACTGACCCATCAGGACCAGATCTGGGTCCTGGTTGTTCATACTGACCCTATCTGAACCAGATCTGGGTCCTGGTTGTTCATACTGACCCTATCAGGACCAGATCTGGGTCCTGGTTGTTTATACTGACCCTATCAGGACCAGATCTGGGTCCTGAATGTTCATACTGACCCTATTAGGACCAGATCTGGGTCCTGGTTGTTCATACTGACCCTATCAGGACCAGATCTGGGTCCTGAATGTTCATACTGATCCTATCAGGACCAGATCTGGGTCTTGGTTGTTCATACTGACCCTATCAGGACCAGATCTGGGTCCTGAATGTTCATACTGACCCTATTAGGACCAGATCTGGGTCCTGGTTGTTCATACTGACCCTATCAGGACCAGATCTGGGTCCTGGTTGTTCATACTGACCCTATCAGGACCAGATCTGGGTCCTGGTTGTTCATACTGACCCATCAGGACCCGATCTGGGTCCTGGTTGTTCATACTGACCCTATCAGAACCAGATCTGGGTCCTGGTTGTTAATACTGACCCTATCAGAACCAGATCTGGGTCCTGGTTGTTCATACTGACCCTATCAGAACCGGATCTGGGTCCTGGTTGTTCAAACTGACCCTATCAGGACCAGATCTGGGTCCTGGTTGTTAATACTGACCCTATCAGAACCAGATCTGGGTCCTGGTTGTTCATACTGACCCATCAGGACCAGATCTGGGTCCTGGTTGTTCATACTGACCCTATCAGGACCAGATCTGGGTCCTGGTTGTTCATACTGACCCTATCAGAACCAGATCTGGGTCCTGGTTGTTCATACTGACCCTATCAGGACCAGATCTGGGTCCTGGTTGTTCATACTGACCCTATCAGGACCAGATCTGGGTCCTGGTTGTTCATACTGACCCTATCAGGACCAGATCTGGGTCCTGGTTGTTCATACTGACCCTATCAGGACCAGATCTGGGTCCTGGTTGTTCATACTGACCCATCAGGACCAGATCTGGGTCCTGGTTGTTCATACTGACCCTATCAGGACCAGATCTGGGTCCTGGTTGTTCATACTGACCCATCAGGACCAGATCTGGGTCCTGGTTGTTCATACTGACCCTATCAGAACCAGATCTGGATCCTGGTTGTTCATACTGACCCTATCAGGACCAGATCTGGGTCCTGGTTGTTCATACTGACCCTATCAGGACCAGATCTGGGTCCTGGTTGTTTATACTGACCCTATCAGGACCAGATCTGGGTCCTGAATGTTCATACTGACCCTATTAGGACCAGATCTGGGTCCTGGTTGTTCATACTGACCCTATCAGGACCAGATCTGGGTCCTGAATGTTCATACTGATCCTATCAGGACCAGATCTGGGTCCTGGTTGTTCATACTGACCCTATCAGGACCAGATCTGGGTCCTGAATGTTCATACTGACCCTATCAGGACCAGATCTGGGTCCTGGTTGTTCATACTGACCCTATCAGGACCAGATCTGGGTCCTGGTTGTTCATACTGACCCTATCAGGACCAGATCTGGATCCTGGTTGTTCATACTGACCCTATCTGAACCAGATCTGGGTCCTGGTTGTTCATACTGACCCTATCTGAACCAGATCTGGGTCCTGGTTGTTCATACTGACCCTATCAGGACCAGATCTGGGTCCTGGTTGTTCATACTGACCCTATCAGGACCAGATCTGGGTCCTGGTTGTTCATACTGATCCTATCAGGACCAGATCTGGATCCTGGTTGTTCATACTGACCCTATCAGGACCAGATCTGGGTCCTGGTTGTTCATACTGACCCTATCAGGACCAGATCTGGGTCCTGGTTGTTCATACTGATCCTATCAGGACCAGATCTGGGTCCTGGTTGTTCATACTGACCCTATCAGGACCAGATCTGGGTCCTGGTTGTTCATACTGATCCTATCAGGACCAGATCTGGGTCCTGGTTGTTTATACTGACCCTATCAGGACCAGATCTGGGTCCTGGTTGTTTATACTGACCCTATCAGGACCAGATCTGGGTCCTGGTTGTTCATACTGACCCTATCAGGACCAGATCTGGGTCCTGGTTGTTCATACTGACACTATCAGGACCAGATCTGGGTCCTGGTTGTTAATACTGACCCATCAGGACCAGATCTAGGTCCTGGTTGTTCATACTGATCCTATCAGGACCAGATCTGGGTCCTGGTTGTTCATACTGACCCTATCAGGACCAGATCTGGGTCCTGGTTGTTCATAATGACCCTATCAGGACCAGATCTGGGTCCTGGTTGTTCATACTGACCCTATCAGGACCAGATCTGGGTCCTGGTTGTTAATACTGACCCATCAGGACCAGATCTAGGTCCTGGTTGTTCATACTGATCCTATCAGGACCAGATCTGGGTCCTGGTTGTTCATACTGATCCTATCAGGACCAGATCTAGGTCCTGGTTGTTCATACTGAACCATCAGGACCAGATCTGGGTCCTGGTTGTTCATATTGACCCTATCAGGATCAGATCTGGGTCCTGGTTGTTCATACTGACCAGTGTTAATTTCGTCAACCATGATGATGACGATAATATTTCGTCAACGTCCCTTTTTCCCATGACGATGACGAGACGAAAACGGACAAAAATAGTTTCCAGAAAATAAAAATATGACAAAAATAAAAAATGATTTTCGTCAACGAGACTAAGACAGACGAAATTTACGATCCATTGAGGAATGGACATTAAGAAATGCAATTGTTTATAATGACTTTGTTTTTCTTGAGCTTCATAGGAGATAACGCGTTGTGGCCTTGTTGGTCCCACACGGCGCCTGTCCCACGGCGCCTGTCCCACGGCGCCTGTCTCACAGCGCCTCGCGCCACTCAGTCAGTAGCAGCAGAGGACTTATACTCATAGCTCAACTTTGCAGTCATTGCGGATACCAGAGTGTGTTTTGTTAACCAAGGCCTGGATGTATGGAGCCATTTTTTTTAGAACGTGAAGGAGAACACCGGAGGAAGGACGCCAACAAAGAGTCTGCAGCTTCAACATGGCAGGAAAGAACTCAGCAAATCTGAAGCGACATCTGAGGAGCCAACAGCTGCCATATGGAAGAAGGTAAGGAACAGGTGGGCCTGTAGTAGCAGGAACAGGTGTGTTAGTGCGCGCATGGGCGCATGTATGTGAATGTACATTTGTGTGGGCTGGTGACCATGCATTTAGCTGTGTGTGAGAGCCTTCCTGTGCCTGTATCTGTCTGTCTGTCATAGAAGAAAGATGTTCTACCGATACTCTGGATATTAATCATTTAAATTTCTTCCTCCCAACTAGATTCTTGACCCAGTGACACCACAGCCAGATCAGAGGTTGGGGAAGGGAGGGAAATCTATAATCTATATTCAGCCCAGACCAACCAGGATCTGAGCTGCTGTCAGATTATCTCAGGGTAACTGGATCCAGACCCAGCAGTGGTTCTGGATCTGATATCTTCACAGAATCCATGGACAGACTCAGTCTTAGAACCTGCTGGCTGATGGTTCTTACCGATCCAGGCTGTGTTGAAGGACGCCCTCTGACCTCCATCCTCCTCCTCTGCTGTTTCCGTGACGACACAGCCCACAGCTGATGTAGCATCTCTGAGCTGCAGAGTCTGTCTGAACGCTGACCTCTGAGAGGGGAGCTGGAGGACACCCACCAGCAGCAGGGGGCGGGGCCTAAAGAGACGACAAGATCAGACCAATAGCAGTGAGTGGAGCCTAGAGAGACAAGATCAGACCAATAGCAGTGAGTGGAGCCTAGAGAGACAAGATCAGACCAATAGCAGTGAGTGGAGCCTAGAGAGACAAGATCAGACCAACAGCAGGGGGCGGGGCCTAAAGAGATGACAAGATCAGACCAATAGCAGGGGGCGGGACCTAAAGAGATGACAAGATCAGACCAATAGCAGGGGGCGGGACCTAAAGAGATGACAAGATCAGACCAATAGCAGGGGGCGGGACCTAAAGAGACGACAAGATCAGACCAATAGCAGGGGGCGGGACCTAAAGAGATGACAAGATCAGACCAATAGCAGGGGGCGGGACCTAAAGAGATGACAAGATCAGACCAATAGCAGGGGGCGGGACCTAAAGAGACGACAAGATCAGACCAATAGCAGGGGGCGGGACCTAAAGAGATGACAAGATCAGACCAATAGCAGGGGGCGGGACCTAAAGAGATGACAAGATCAGACCAATAGCAGGGGGCGGGGCCTAAAGAGACGACAAGATCAGACCAATAGCAGGGGGCGGGACCTAAAGAGATGACAAGATCAGACCAATAGCAGGGGGCGGGGCCTAAAGAGACGACAAGGTGAGACCAGCAGCAGGGGGCGGGACAAAACAAGGGCAGTAAACTGGATCTGTAACTGGTCTACTAACACCGTTCCAGCTCAGAGCCAGTCCTCCTGGGTTTACCTGAGACCGTCTCCAGTCTGAGGGTCAGAGGTCAGAGTCCTGCAGGACCAGGACAGAGCAGAGTTGATCTGTGAGCTGCTGAGGCTGGATCCCCCTGAAGGCAGCAGAGAGCTGAGGGACACCGAGGACCAGCAGGACGACCTGAGGGACTGGAGAAGCTCTGAGATGCTGAGGAGCTGAGGGACGGAGGAGTCCACCTGGTACTGAGGAGACAGAGGAGGTCTACTGAGGGAGGTTCTACTGGAGGTCAGCGGTAGGAGATCAGAACATACCTGGCTCAGAGGACAGCTGTGAGGGACGTCCAACATCTCTGAGTAGATGTCTCTGGCTCCTGGTCCTCTGGAGGTCCACAGAGTCTCTGAAAGTTTCCAGGACAGCAGGCAGACACACTGAGGAGGAGCAGGAGAAGGAGGAGCAGGGAGCAGGCTGGGAGGACAGAGAGGAGTTGGTAAGGATAGCTGATCAACCACTGAGCAGTCTGAAGGTTCTAGATGTTCTAACTGGGAGGAACCAGCAGCTCCGCCTGCTCATCACTGACACGTCTGCTACTAACTGACCCCTCTGCTACTAACTGACCCCTCTGCTACTAACTGACCCCTCTGCTACTAACTGATCCTCTGCTACTAACTGACCCCTCTGCTACTAACTGACCCTCTGCTACTAACTAACCCCTCTGGTACTAACTGACCCCTCTGCTACTAACCGATCCTCTGCTACTAACCGACCCTCTGCTACTAACTGACCTCTCTGCTACTAACTGATCCTCTGCTACTAACTGACCCTCTGCTACTAACTGACCCTCTGCTACTAACTGACCCCTCTGCTACTAACTGACCCCTCTGCTACTAACTGACCCTCTGCTACTAACTGACCCTCTGCTACTAACTGACCCTCTGCTACTAACTGACCCCTCTGCTACTAACTGACCCCTCTGCTACTAACTGACCCCTCTGCTACTAACTGACCCCTCTGCTACTAACTGACCCTCTGCTACTAACTGACCCTCTGCTACTAACTGACCCCTCTGCTACTAACTGACCCCTCTGCTACTAACTGACCCCTCTGCTACTAACTGACCCTCTGCTACTAACTGACCCCTCTGCTACTAACTGACCCCTCTGCTACTAACTGACCCTCTGCTACTAACTGACCCTCTGCTACTAACTGACCCCTCTGCTACTAACTGACCCCCTCTGCTACTAACTGACCCTCTGCTACTAACTGACCCTCTGCTACTAACTGACCCCTCTGCTACTAACTGACCCCTCTGCTACTAACTGACCCTCTGCTACTAACTGACCCTCTGCTACTAACTGACCCCTCTGCTACTAACTGACCCCTCTGCTACTAACTGACCCCTCTGCTACTAACTAACCCCTCTGCTACTAACTGACCCTCTGCTACTAACTGATCCTCTGCTACTAACTGATCCTCTGCTACTAACTGACCCCTCTGCTACTAACTGATCCTCTGCTACTAACTGACCCCTCTGCTACTAACTGACCCCCTCTGCTACTAACTGATCCTCTGCTACTAACTAACCCTCTGCTACTAACTGACCCTCTGCTACTAACTGATCCTCTGCTACTAACTGACCCCTCTGCTACTAACTGACCCCTCTGCTACTAACTGACCCCTCTGCTACTAACTGATCCTCTGCTACTAACTGATCCTCTGCTACTAACTGACCCCCTCTGCTACTAACTGATCCTCTGCTACTAACTGACCCTCTGCTACTAACTGATCCTCTGCTACTAACTGATCCTCTGCTACTAACTGATCCTCTGCTACTAACTGACCCTCTGCTACTAACTGACCCCTCTGCTACTAACTGACCCCTCTGCTACTAACTGACCCCTCTGCTACTAACTGACCCTCTGCTACTAACTGATCCTCTGCTACTAACTGATCCTCTGCTACTAACTGATCCTCTGCTACTAACTGATCCCTCTGCTACTAACTGATCCCTCTGCTACTAACTGACCCTCTGCTACTAACTGATCCTCTGCTACTAACTGATCCTCTGCTACTAACTGACCCCCTCTGCTACTAACTGATCCTCTGCTACTAACTGACCCTCTGCTACTAACTGATCCTCTGCTACTAACTGACCCCCTCTGCTACTAACTGATCCTCTGCTACTAACTGACCCCTCTGCTACTAACTGACCCTCTGCTACTAACTGACCCTCTGCTACTAACCGACCCCTCTGCTACTAACTGACCCTCTGCTACTAACTGACCCTCTGCTACTAACTGACCCCTCTGCTACTAACTGACCCCTCTGCTACTAACTGATCCTCTGCTACTAACTGATCCTCTGCTACTAACTGACCCTCTGCTACTAACTGACCCTCTGCTACTAACTGACCCTCTGCTACTAACAGACCCTCTGCTACTAACTGATCCTCTGCTACTAACTGACCCTCTGCTACTAACTGATCCTCTGCTACTAACTGACCCTCTGCTACTAACTGATCCTCTGCTACTAACTGACCCTCTGCTACTAACTGACCCTCTGCTACTAACTGATCCTCTGCTACTAACTGACCCCTCTGCTACTAACTGACCCTCTGCTACTAACTGACCCTCTGCTACTAACTGATCCTCTGCTACTAACTGATCCTCTGCTACTAACTGACCCTCTGCTACTAACTGACCCTCTGCTACTAACTGACCCCTCTGCTACTAACTGACCCCTCTGCTACTAACTGACCCCTCTGCTACTAACTGATCCTCTGCTACTAACTGACCCCTCTGCTACTAACTGACCCTCTGCTACTAACTGATCCCTCTGCTACTAACTGACCCCTCTGCTACTAACTGACCCCTCTGCTACTAACTAACCCCTCTGCTACTAACTGACCCTCTGCTACTAACTGATCCCTCTGCTACTAACTGACCCCTCTGCTACTAACTGATCCTCTGCTACTAACTGACCCTCTGCTACTAACTGACCCTCTGCTACTAACTGACCCCTCTGCTACTAACTGACCCCTCTGCTACTAACTAACCCCTCTGCTACTAACTGATCCTCTGCTACTAACTGACCCCTCTGCTACTAACTGACCCTCTGCTACTAACTGATCCCTCTGCTACTAACTGACCCCTCTGCTACTAACTGACCCCTCTGCTACTAACTAACCCCTCTGCTACTAACTGACCCTCTGCTACTAACTGACCCTCTGCTACTAACTGACCCTCTGCTACTAACTGACCCTCTGCTACTAACTGATCCCTCTGCTACTAACTGACCCTCTGCTACTAACTGACCCCTCTGCTACTAACTGATCCTCTGCTACTAACTGACCCTCTGCTACTAACTGACCCCTCTGCTACTAACTGATCCTCTGCTACTAACTGACCCTCTGCTACTAACTGATCCTCTGCTACTAACTGATCCTCTGCTACTAACTGACCCTCTGCTACTAACTGATCCTCTGCTACTAACTGATCCTCTGCTACTAACTGATCCTCTGCTACTAACTGACCCTCTGCTACTAACTGATCCTCTGCTACTAACTGACCCCTCTGCTACTAACTGACCCTCTGCTACTAACTGACCCCTCTGCTACTAACTGACCCTCTGCTACTAACTGACCCTCTGCTACTAACTGACCCTCTGCTACTAACTGACCCCTCTGCTACTAACTGATCCCTCTGCTACTAACTGATCCTCTGCTACTAACTGACCCTCTGCTACTAACTGACCCTCTGCTACTAACTGACCCCTCTGCTACTAACTGATCCTCTGCTACTAACTGACCCCTCTGCTACTAACTGACCCTCTGCTACTAACTGACCCCTCTGCTACTAACTGACCCTCTGCTACTAACTGACCCTCTGCTACTAACTGATCCTCTGCTACTAACTGACCCTCTGCTACTAACCGAACCCTCCTCTACTAACTAACCCCTCTGCTACTAACTGACCCTCTGCTACTAACTGATCCTCTGCTACTAACTGACCCTCTGCTACTAACTGACCCTCTGCTACTAACTGATCCTCTGCTACTAACTGACCCTCTGCTACTAACTGATCCTCTGCTACTAACTGATCCTCTGCTACTAACTGATCCTCTGCTACTAACTGACCCTCTGCTACTAACTGATCCTCTGCTACTAACTGACCCTCTGCTACTAACTGACCCTCTGCTACTAACTGACCCCTCTGCTACTAACTGACCCCTCTGCTACTAACTGATCCTCTGCTACTAACTGACCCTCTGCTACTAACTGATCCTCTGCTACTAACTGACCCTCTGCTACTAACTGACCCTCTGCTACTAACTGACCCTCTGCTACTAACTGACCCTCTGCTACTAACTGACCCTCTGCTACTAACTGATCCTCTGCTACTAACTGACCCCTCTGCTACTAACTGATCCTCTGCTACTAACTGACCCTCTGCTACTAACTGACCCCTCTGCTACTAACTGATCCCTCTGCTACTAACTGACCCTCTGCTACTAACTGACCCCTCTGCTAGTCACTGACCCTCTGCTACTAACTGACCCTCTGCTACTAACTGACCCTCTGCTAGTCACTGACCCTCTGCTACTAACTGACCCTCTGCTACTAACTGATCCTCTGCTACTAACTGACCCCTCTGCTACTAACTGACCCTCTGCTACTAACTGACCCCTCTGCTACTAACTGACCCCTCTGCTACTAACTGATCCTCTGCTACTAACTAACCCTCTGCTACTAACTGACCCTCTGCTAGTCACTGACCCTCTGCTACTAACTGATCCCTCTGCTACTAACTGATCCTCTGCTACTAACTGATCCTCTGCTACTAACTAACCCTCTGCTACTAACTGACCCTCTGCTAGTCACTGACCCTCTGCTACTAACTGACCCTCTGCTACTAACTGATCCTCTGCTACTAACTGACCCCTCTGCTACTAACTGATCCTCTGCTACTAACTGACCCCTCTGCTACTAACTGACCCTCTGCTACTAACTGACCCCTCTGCTACTAACTGACCCCTCTGCTACTAACTGATCCTCTGCTACTAACTAACCCTCTGCTACTAACTGACCCTCTGCTAGTCACTGACCCTCTGCTACTAACTGATCCCTCTGCTACTAACTGACCCTCTGCTAGTCACTGACCCCTCTGCTACTAACTGATCCCTCTGCTACTAACTGACCCTCTGCTACTAACTGACCCCTCTGCTAGTCACTGACCCTCTGCTACTAACTGACCCTCTGCTACTAACTGACCCTCTGCTAGTCACTGACCCTCTGCTACTAACTGACCCTCTGCTACTAACTGATCCTCTGCTACTAACTGACCCCTCTGCACTACTACTGACCCTCTGCTACTAACTGACCCCTCTGCTACTAACTGACCCTCTGCTACTAACTGATCCTCTGCTACTAACTAACCCTCTGCTACTAACTGACCCTCTGCTAGTCACTGACCCTCTGCTACTAACTGACCCTCTGCTACTAACTGATCCTCTGCTACTAACTGACCCTCTGCTACTAACTGATCCTCTGCTACTAACTGACCCCTCTGCTACTAACTGACCCTCTGCTACTAACTGACCCCTCTGCTACTAACTGACCCCTCTGCTACTAACTGACCCTCTGCTACTAACTAACCCTCTGCTACTAACTGACCCTCTGCTAGTCACTGACCCTCTGCTACTAACTGACCCTCTGCTACTAACTGATCCTCTGCTACTAACTGATCCTCTGCTACTAACTGACCCCTCTGCTACTAACTGACCCCTCTGCTACTAACTGACCCTCTGCTACTAACTGACCCCTCTGCTACTAACTGATCCTCTGCTACTAACTGACCCTCTGCTACTAACTGACCCTCTGCTACCTAACTGACCCCTCTGCTACTAACTGACCCCTCTGCTACTAACTAACCCCTCTGCTACTAACTGATCCTCTGCTACTAACAGACCCCTCTGCTACTAACTGACCCTCTGCTACTAACTGATCCCTCTGCTACTAACTGACCCCTCTGCTACTAACTGACCCCTCTGCTACTAACTAACCCCTCTGCTACTAACTGACCCTCTTGCTACTAACTGATCCCTCTGCTACTAACTGATCCCTCTGCTACTAACTGATCCCCTCTGCTATAACTGACCCTCTGCTACTAACTGACCCCTCTGCTACTAACTGATCCTCTGCTTACTAACTGACCCTCTGCTACTAACTGACCCCTCTGCTACTAACTGATCTCTGCTACTAACTGATCCTCTGCTACTAACTGACCCTCTGCTACTTAACTGACCCTCTGCTACTAAACTGATCCTCTGCTACTAACTGACCCTCTGCTACTAACTGACCCTCTGCTACTAACTGACCCCTCTGCTACTAACTGACCCTCTGCTACTAACTGACCCTCTGCTACTAACTGATCCTCTGCTACTAACTGACCCTCTGCTACTAACTGATCCTCTGCTACTAACTGACCCCTCTGCTACTAACTGATCCTCTGCTACTAACTGACCCTCTGCTACTAACTGACCCCTCTGCTACTAACTGACCCTCTGCTACTAACTGATCCTCTGCTACTAACTAACCCTCTGCTACTAACTGACCCTCTGCTAGTCACTGACCCTCTGCTACTAACTGATCCTCTGCTACTAACTGACCCCTCTGCTACTAACTAACCCCTCTGCTACTAACTGACCCTCTGCTACTAACTGACCCTCTGCTACTAACTGACCCCTCTGCTACTAACTGACCCTCTGCTACTAACTGACCCTCTGCTACTAACTGACCCTCTGCTACTAACTGACCCTCTGCTACTAACTGACCCCTCTGCTACTAACTGACCCTCTGCTACTAACTGACCCTCTGCTACTAACTGACCCCTCTGCTACTAACTGACCCTCTGCTACTAACTAACCCTCTGCTACTAACTGACCCTCTGCTAGTCACTGACCCTCTGCTACTAACTGACCCTCTGCTACTAACTGATCCTCTGCTACTAACTGATCCTCTGCTACTAACTGATCCTCTGCTACTAACTGACCCCTCTGCTACTAACTGACCCCTCTGCTACTAACTGACCCTCTGCTACTAACTGATCCTCTGCTACTAACTGACCCTCTGCTACTAACTGACCCTCTGCTACTAACTGACCCCTCTGCTACTAACTGACCCCTCTGCTACTAACTGATCCTCTGCTACTAACTGACCCCTCTGCTACTAACTGACCCTCTGCTACTAACTGATCCCTCTGCTACTAACTGACCCCTCTGCTACTAACTGACCCCTCTGCTACTAACTAACCCCTCTGCTACTAACTGATCCCTCTGCTACTAACTGATCCCTCTGCTACTAACTGACCCTCTGCTACTAACTGACCCCTCTGCTACTAACTGATCCTCTGCTACTAACTGACCCTCTGCTACTAACTGACCCCTCTGCTACTAACTGATCCTCTGCTACTAACTGACCCTCTGCTACTAACTGATCCTCTGCTACTAACTGACCCTCTGCTACTAACTGACCCCTCTGCTACTAACTGATCCTCTGCTACTAACTGACCCTCTGCTACTAACTGATCCTCTGCTACTAACTGACCCTCTGCTAGTCAATGACTTTTAACCAATCCAACTGGATGATCTGGTTGATGTGGATCTATGGAGTGACCTCAGAGCTGTTCTAGGTTAGATCTATAGTCATTCAGTCACAGTAAAGTGCTGCTGTGGTAAACTGTTGGTCTGAGGAGCACTAGAGGCCGGTCTGTCTGCAGACTGAGCATCACCGTGGTAACCAGGTGACCTAGTGGAGCCTGCAGAGGAGGCTGGTATAAACCAGTCGGTTAACTCCGGTCTGTCTGCAGACTGAGCATCACCATGGTAACCAGGTGACCTAGTGGAGCCTGCAGAGGAGGCTGGTATAAACCAGTGGGTTAACTCCGGTCTGTCTGCAGACTGAGCATCACCATGGTAACCAGGTGACCTAGTGGAGCCTGCAGAGGAGGCTGGTATAAACCAGTCGGTTAACTCCGGTCTGTCTGCAGACTGAGCATCACCATGGTAACCAGGTGACCTAGTGGAGCCTGCAGAGGAGGCTGGTATAAACCAGTCGGTTAACTCTGACCTACTTTATGGGACAGAAACCAACAATCTGCTCCTGCAGGAAGCAGAACCTTCACCTGTTGCTGAGCTGGGAGGCCAGGTGGCAGCTCCACAGGTACTGATCCATCCCTCTGTTTTTCTGCAGCAGTAACCGTGGCAACACCCCATCTCCAGGACAGCAGCGGCCTGCGGAGGCTCCGCCCACTCTGCTGAAGGCCGTCACCCTGACGGACGAGCCCAGGCAGCAGCAAAGCATGCTGGGAGGAAGGTCAGGACAGGGCCGGTACAGGAAGTGGACCTGATGGAGCTGCAGGGTCAGAACAGAAGATTAGGGAACCAATCAGAGCTCAGATCTGCAGGAACCAATCAGAGCTCAGATCTGCAGGAACCAATCAGAGCTCAGATCTGCAGGAACCAATCAGAGCTCAGATCTGCAGGAACCAATCAGAACGCTGATCTAGAACCAATCAGAGCTCAGCAGCAGGTACTCACCTCCACCTGGTCTCCTGCTCTCAGCTTCCTCCTCTCTGACGGCTGATAGGCCAAACACAGACCCACCTTCCTGTCCATCACGTAGAGCCCCGCCCCCTCACTGATCACCTCCGTCACGGTGCCCTATCAGAGGAGAGGGGCGGAGCTTAGCTCACAGGGAAACATTTGCTGTGTTCCAGTAGAGGGAGAGGAGACCCTGCTGACCCTAACAGTGACCTCCTAATGAACCTCTCCTCTCCTCCTTCTCTTTCTCCTCTCCTGATATTATTGGCTGATTTTAACAACATGTGATAGTTTAACAGTAAACTCTCACTAAACACTGTTGATCATTTTTATCTATCATTTGATCAGATCTGTTATTTCCCACTAAAGCCTCCACTTATCATCATGTCCTCTCTATGGTGGATAGTTCTAGCTGTCACTCGAGGCGTTTCAGAGCGGGGGGGATGGGGGGGGGTGTCTACTTTCTGCTGATCACTTTAAGCTTTAAATGTTTTTGTTCTTTTTCTTTCGACTGGAACCAGTGGATGTGTTTACCAATCAGAGGCCTCCTTCCTACCTGGTTCTAACCAATCAGAGGCCTCCTACAAGGTTCCAACCAATCAGAGGCTTCCTTCCTACCTGGTAGCTGATGACTCTGGAGCGTCTGATCCTTGCTGCTGATTGGACAGCATCCTCTTCAGGCTCCGCCTCCTCCTGGTCCATCAGCAGGCGGTCAGAGTGGAGGACTGGTCCTGCTTCCTCTGTGGGGATCCTTCCAGGGTGACTCTGGTGCTGATGGTGGGACTGGCTGTGTCCAGTGTGTAACTGGGTGTGTAGATGTGCGTCCCCAGTGTGTAACTGGGTGTGTAGATGTGCGTCCCCAGTGTGTATTGGGGTGTGTAGTTGTGCGTCCCCAGTGTGTATTGGGGTGTGTAGTTGTGCATACCCAGTGTGTAAGTGTGAGCCCTCGGCCACGCTCAGCAGCTGCTTTCCTCTCCATCCTCTCATCAAACACACTCTGAGAGCTGAAACACTCACTGAGTCACCAACACACACACACTGGGACCACCACAGCCTGCTGCCCTGAACACACACAGATCACCATTAGTAGCAGAGGTCAAAGGTCAGTCTATCAGCCTGGGTCTGGGTCTCCTACCTTCACCAGGACAGGAACAGTTTGATCGTCCTCCATCAGAGAGAAGAAGAAGAAACAGCTTCCTGACACCTCCAGCAGGGGGCAGACCGAGGACACCTGACCGAACACCGACAGCCGCTGACCTCTGACCCTGAACCACAAAGAGAGGTCACCCAGAGGTCAACCTTTGTTCACAGTAAAGATGGAGGCAGACAGGAGCTCCAGTTTAACAGCAGAGGTAGATCCAGACCTCCTGGTTCTGGTTCTGATGTCCCGAGCCCGTGACATCATCAATGACCCCTCACCATGGACTGTTCTCCCTGCTGCCCTCTGGGAAGAGGCTTCACAGCATTCAATGCAGGACCAGCAGGTTCTGCAGCAGCTTCTTCCCCACTGCCATCACACTGATGAACTGATGGATAAACTCTGCATCACACTGATAACACCAAACCAGGATACTGCAGATTTACACAATAGATATTAATGCTCTGAACAAAAGTTACGTATGTAACTATGGTTGTATGAATCCTGGATGACCGCCAGAGGTGGTGCTTCAAGCACTGAATGACGTATGCCAACCAGGTCCCGAGGGATGAAGAAACAAAGGAACAACCCGCTGGAACCCGGCAGCAGCACCTAACTTAGCAGGATGCAGCCGGTGGTTGCAGCAGGGTGCCCTGAAAAGGCTCAGGCGTAGCCATGTTAACCCTATAAAACCTCATGAAAGTGGTTGGCACAGACCATGAAGCCGCGCAGATGGACTCCAGCGACACCCTCATTAATGCAGTCCATGAGGTTGACAGGCTCCTTATGGAGTGGCACCATACCCCCTGAGGTAGGGGCTGACCCTGCAGAGAGTATGCCACAGATATCGCCCCCACGACCCAACGTGCCAACCACTGTTTGGAAAAGGCAGGACCTTGCAGAGGGCCAGCATGGCTTACAAAGAGGCTGTCGATCAGCCGAATGGTCTCTGTGGTGCAGACATAGACCTCCAGCGCTCTGACTGGACACATAGCTTCAGAAGGGGTCCCAGGCTCAAAGCGAGACAACTGAAGCGGCAAACCTGTGCCTGCCACTGTTGGGGCCTTCGGGACGAAGGAGGAATTGGTCCATAGGGTAACCCCGGAGCCATCTGGGTTCCACCGACAACAAGGCTCGGATACAGACAGGGCATGCAGTTCCCCCACTCGTCTACCAGATGCCATGACGAGTAGGAAGGCAGTCTTCATTGAGAACCGTTCTAGGTCCACTGTCGCAATCGGCTCAAAGGGTGGGGAATGAAGAGCCTCAAGCAACAAATGAAGATCCCAGGTAGGAGCCACCCGGCGTCTTGGAGGATGCAAACGTCTAGCGCCCTTAAGAATAGCGCTATGTCCCTACACCTTCCAACAGAGCAGCCATTGAACCCAGTTTGCCAAGGGAAATGGCAGCCACATACACCTTCAAGGTGGAAGGGGACCGGCCCCGGTTAAGTAACCCTTGAAGGAAGGCCACTGAGGGTTGAATGGGACAACGTATGGGGTCCAGCCCCCTATCGTCACTCCAGGTAGCATAACTTGCCCATCTTGCAGTGTAAGCAGCCCGGATGGATGGCACCCATGCACAAGGTATTGTGTGGCCCACGTCACTCCTGATTTGGGAGAAAGCCGGGTCGGACCCTGCAGAGGCCAAAGCCAATGCAGGAGGCGGTCCTGGTCGGGGTGGATAACTCAACCCCCCAGTTGGGACAGGAGGTCCCACCTGGATGGGAGGCGCATTGGCAAGCTGTACCAAAGCCTGCAAGCCGCAAAGGAAACCAAGTCCTCGCCGGTCAGAACGGGGCTACCAGCAGAAGACTGTGCCCTTCCTGGAGAACCCGCAGGAGGGTCTGAGGAATCAGCCCCAACGGGGGAAAGGCATACAGGAAAGTTCTTGACCAATCATGGGCCAGCATCCCAGAGGACAGGAACTGTCTAACAGGGAGAACCAGAGGAGACAGTGGGGAATGTCTCTAGAGGCAAAGAGATTCATGCCTGCTCTGCCGAATGTCGACTTTATGTGATCTACCACCTCTGGGTGGAGCCATCAGTCCCCCCTGGAAGAGGCGACGTGCGGGAAAGGAAGTCAGCAGGTCCGTTGCTCCAACATGGAATATAGGCTGCCCTGAGGCTGATGAGGCGAGATGACGCCAAAACCAGGAGCTGGCATGTTAGGGTCAGCACTCTCGGGGACCTGGACCCACCTTGGTGGTTGATATGGAAGACCACTGTGGTGTTGTCCAACCAGACTCACACATGCTTCCCCTGTAACCCCAGAAGAAAATTCGGAGCGCATGGGCCACAGCCAGCAGCTCCAGGGCATTGATGTGTTCCCTCTGCTGCCGTGTCGACCACACCCGATGCGCGATGCGGGCCAGCCAGTTTGCACCCCTGCCTAGAGTGGAGGCGTCCGTATAAACAGCCTCCCTCTGGCATGGAAGGGGGCTGAGCGGAACTCCTCAGAGACCGAAGACAGTGCGATGCGACACAAATTTGTATGTGCCTGTGTGCCAGGCGGGCGGGGTCCAGGGCCAGGCTGTTCAGCCACATCCTCAGAGGGCGCAGGGAGAGAAGTCCCAGTGTGGCCGTGGACAGCGGGTGCTAGCTCGAAGGAGGAACAATAAGGGAGGCAATGCCAGGTTACACAGCCGGCATCTGCCCTAACCCAAACTTTGGGGCCTCTTGCATCGCAGTGAGGGCTCTTCCATCTGACGTCGGGCGACAAAGAGCTCGAATATCAGACCAGCAAGCATGGAGCTCCCTGATGTACTCCCCTGAAGGCGGGACAGCCAAGATGGCCGTCCCCCAGCCGCACCGCATGGAGGAGAACGCTGCCACTGGAGCAAGAAGAATCGGTAAGCGCCTCCTTGAGGTGGTCACCACCAAGACAAGGGGGGCACAGGTCATGACCTTCCTCAGGCTGCAAAGGGGCCAGGCAGTTGGAACAACAGAGATGTTCCATATCCCAGTGACAGAGCCCGTACTCTGGAGCAACGTCACCAACTCGACAGAGCAGAATGTCCAACCAAGGACCTCAGCACGGGCAGAAAACGCCACTGATGAGGTAAATATTAACAGAAAACCGTACATTTCAGTTAAATCAAACCAAAGAACTGAGCACAGGCAGAAAACGCCACCGGCTAGGTAAGTAAAATTAGCAGTCATCAGCTGTAACAGCCCTTAAATTAAACACCAGCGGAGCGTGACCCGAAAATGAAAAGAAAACAGAATCACCGAACACCAGATGAGATCTGTAGACAAAACAATCGTCAGTTGAGCAGCCCCTGGAGGGCGAGCACGCCCGCAGCCCCGACCACAAACGATCACTGGGATACTAGCAGCAGGCTGACGGAGGAAGCGGTAATGCAGCTTCAGAACCAGCCGCTCCTACCCAACTCTATTGGATCAGAACCAGCAGGTTCTACCGGATCAGAACCAGCCGCTCCTACCCGACTCTACTGGAGCGTAACCGGCTGGTTTTACCTGACTCTACCAGATCAGAACCAGCTGGTTCTACCCGACTATTGGATCAGAACCAGCGGGTTCTACCGGATCAAAACCAGCTGGTTATACCGGACTCTACAGGATCAGAACCAGCCGCTCCTACCCGACTCTATTGGATCAGAACCAGCAGGTTCTACCGGATCAGAACCAGCTGGTTATACCGGACTCTACCGGATCAGAACCAGCCACTCCTACCCGACCCTACCAGATCAGAACCAGCTGGTTCTACCCGACTCTACTGGATCAGAACCAGCTGGTTCTACCCGACCCTACCGGATCAGAACCAGCCACTCCTACCCGACTCTACTGGATCAGAACCAGCTGGTTCTACCCGACTCTACCGGATCAGAACCAGCTGGTTCTACCCGACTCTACCGGATCAGAACCAGCATGTCTGTCTCCTGTCAGAAGTCATGTGACCCACCTGGTCCTCAGCAGAGCTGCAGCCTCTCTGACGCTCACCGCTCCGTTAAGCTCCGCCCCTCCTGGGTCTGTAGCCAATGGCTGCTCAGCTCTGGGACACAGCAGAACAGGAGAACCAATCAGCTCCAGGGATCCTCTGTCCTGGTTCTGCCCCGTAGCATCATGGGGGATGTAGTTCCAGTGAGGCAGGAAGACGGGCCGGTCCATCCAGAGGGGGGACGGACGGATCAGCTGGAGACAAATGGACAGAGACAGGAAGTCCTCTTTAAGGCCTGGTTATTCTCCTCCCAGCAGTGTGTCACAGTGAGCTTGATGCAGGTATTTTTGATGTCTGCCCAATATTGAAGCGTGGTCTGTGCTATGCTATTCCACGCTACAACGCCAGAGGGCCAATCAGGAATTAGCTGTGGGTCTAGATACGGCCGAGGCGGCGAGGAAGTGGGGGCAAGTTTGTGTGACAACGGAGGGACATGAGGGCCAAAAAGAGCGGGGATCCAGGTGGACAAAGGGTCCCAGCGTTCTCACCTCGCTCTGCTAGCTGCTCCATCTTCACCAGTCGTTTCCCACAATGGCGGTCAGACAAACAAAACAAGCAGGTAAGGAACCAAACAGGAAATACGCAGAGAGGAGAGCGGATGTAGATCTGACCAATCAGAGGCCTCCTGTCTGCGCTCACCTACAGATGGCAGAGGTGCAGCAGAGCGTCTGCAGAAAGGGGGCGGGGACATCTTTGCATTCACTGCCACACACAGACGACATAGTTAGGAAGTATAAATCAGCCTTTAGATTCCACTGCTGATCCAGAACAACCTGCTTTAGAGTCAGTGGGACTCGGTTCTGATGGGCCCGGCTTGGCGAGCCCGGTCCAAAGGCTCGGTTCTGATGGGCCCGGCTTGGCGAGCCCGGTCCAAAGGCTCGATTCTGATGGGCCGCAGTGGGACCGGCTTGGCGAGCCCGGTCCAAAGGCTCGTTCTGATGGGCCGCAGTGGGACCGGCTTGGAGAGCCCGGTCCAAAGGCTCGGTTCTGATGGGCCGCAGTGGGACCGGCTTGGTGAGCCCGGTCCAAAGGCTCGGTTCTGATGGGCCGCAGTGGGACCGGCTTGGAGAGCCCGGTCCAAAGGCTCGGTTCTGATGGGCCGCAGTGGGACCGGCTTGGTGAGCCCGGTCCAAAGGCTCGGTTCTGATGGGCCGCAGTGGGACCGGCTTGGTGAGCCCGGTCCAAAGGCTCGGTTCTGATGGGCCGCAGTGGGACCGGCTTGGCGAGCCCGGTCCAAAGGCTCGGTTCTGATGGGCCGCAGTGGGACCGGCTTGGCGAGCCCGGTCCAAAGGCTCGGTTCTGATGGGCCGCGGTCGGCGAACAGCAGTCGTTGAGCCGGTCCCACACGCTGCTGACATCAGCCAGGTCCAATCCTGAAACCTGGACTAGGCCCCGCCCCCTCCTACCTCACACCTGACGCTGCCGCTGCCGTCCACCAGTCTCCACTCTCCGCCCCGCCCCTCTCTCAGCCAGCCAATCAGCAGCAGGTGGACCCGGGGCAGCGCCCTGTGACCCGGCAGGCTAAGCTCCGCCTCCTCGGTCCATGCTCGGTGCTGATTGGTGCTCCAGGACAGGTTGCTGACGCAGGCCAGACGCTGCTGGGACAGCAGCTCAGAGATGGACAGAAGCCTGGAGACACAGAGGACAGGAAGGACAGTTATGTTTTACACAGGAGAAGCTCTACAATTCTATTCAGTTTATTTCTATAGCTCCAATTCACGTCATGTCATCTCAGGTCACTTTCCAGTTCACCAGATCATCCAGTCAGATTGATTCAAAGTTTTCTATCCAAGGAAAACCAGCTGATTGCATCGACTCATTGACTCTTCAGAATCAGAATCAGAAATACTTTAATAACCCCAGAGGTAAATTACTTTTGTTACCCGCTGCAGTTACAGCTTTATATAATATAAACACACATCCAACTATACTTTATAATAAAGAGTGGGGTGATGCTGAGAAACTAGTCCATGCATTTGTTACTTCAAGGCTGGACTATTGTAATTCTTTACTATCAGGAAGTCCACAAACTGTAGTTAAAAGCCTTCAGCTGATCCAAAATGCTGCAGCCAGAGTTCTGATGAAAATGAAACAGAGAGATCATATCTCTCCTATCCTGGCTTCTCTTCATTGGCTTCCTGTTAAATCCAGAATAGAATTTAAAATCCTCCTTCTCACATATAAAGCCTTAAATGGCCAAGCTCCATCTGATATCAGAGATCTGATTGTTCCTTATGTTCCTAACAGAGCACTTCGCTCTCAATCTGCAGGTTTACTAGTGGTTCCCAGAACTTCTAAAAGTAGAATGGGAGGCAGATCTTTTAGTTCTCAGGCTCCTCTCCTGTGGAACCAACTACCAGTTTTAGTCCGTGAGGCAGACACCCTGTCTACTTTTAAGGCTAGGCTTAAAACTTTCCTTTTTGATAAAGCTTCTAGTTAGAGTGTCTCAGGTTATCCTGATCTATCTCTATATTTCTGCTGCTATAGGCTTAGACTGCTGGAGGACATAGGGACCCCTTTTTCATCATTCTGCTTCATTCTATCTCTATTCTCCCACTCTGCAGAATCTGTTAGTTCAATCTCTAACGTTCTGCTCTCTCTGCTTTTTCTCATAGTAGCTTCATCTGGTCTGTTCCTGTTTGGCTGTGACTCCATCCTGGAGAGAAATATCAGCTGTGCTGCTTCCATCAACACCTTTGTTTCTAGATGTTGGAGCTTGGCCTGTTTTCCAGTGTAGTCCTGTTTCTCTGACTGTGACTAACTGGATGTGCTCTCTTCATCCTCTGACATGGGAGCTGGCTCGGAGCTCGTCTGCCTGGCTGTGTGTTTCCTGGACGGGGCCGCCTGTGGAGCTGGTTGACAGTTGCCTTTTGTATCTATGCTTCTTTTTCTATGTCTGCTTCTGTCTCCTTGAACCCCAGTGGGCCTCAGCAGATGGCCGCTCACACTGAGCCTGGTTCTGCTGGAGGTTTCTTCCTGTTCAAAGGGAGTTTTTCCTCTCCACTGTCGCTACAAGCATGCTTAGTGTGAGGGATTGCTAAAGAGTCAATGAGTCGATGCAATCAGCTGGTTTTCCTTTGATAGAAAACTTTGAATCAATCTGACTGGATGATCTGGTGAACTGGAAAGTGACCTGAGATGACATGATGTGAATTGGAGCTATAGAAATAAACGGAATTGAAACTGAATTTAAAGTATGCTGCTCTAGCTTTACAAAGCGTCCTCTTATACAGCAGTAAACCATTTTTCCAGACTTGGAAGGACTCCCGCAGGCCTGTGGAGCGATATTTTCTCTCCAGTTTCCTAGCATTTTGCTTCAAAGTACGCAGCTCTGCATTAAACCAAGGAGCAAGCTTTCTATTTTTAACAGTTTTCATTTTCAAAGGAGCTGCGTTGTCTAAGGCAATACGCAGAGAACTAGCAACCCCATCAACAAAATCATCAACCTGTGAAGGGGAATAAGCTATGCTTTTGCACTCTGCAGCACTGCTCAGTGACACAGAGGAGAGAGAAAGTGAAGCAGATTCTTTAAAATGTATAACTGCTCTATCTGATAAAGATCTGCTAAAATTGAACCTTCTTTTGGGGGAGGAGAACTCTGTTAAAGTAATCCTGAAGGTTATTAGAAAGTGGTCAGAGAGGACAGGGTTGTGAGGAAATCCTGTTATTTCTTCACATTCTATGCCGTATGTCAGCACAAGATCCAAAGTATGAAGATGAGAATGCGTGGGACTATTCACATTTTGAACAAAGCCAATAGTGTCTAAGATAGCATTAAAGGCTGCTCTTAAGCTATCGCCTTCAATGTCAGCATGGATGTTAAAATCTCCCACTATGATGACCCTGTCAGTATTTAATACCAAATCAGAAAGGAACTCTGAAAACTCATCTAAAAATTCAGAGTAAGGACCTGGTGGACGATACAAAGTTACAGAAAGAAGAGGTTTTCTTGCTTTGCAATTTGGATCAGGGAAATTAAGGGTTAAATGTTCAAAAGAGTTGTAGGTATTAACTGTTTTGGGAGTAATCAGTAAGTCAGACTGGAAGATTGTTGCTACTCCTCCTCCTCGCCCAGAACTTCTGGGGATGTGAAAATTTAAATAGCTTGAAGGAGTTGCCTCATTTATGCTCACATAATCCTCTTGCTGCAGCCAGGTTTCTGTAAGGCAACACAAGTCAATGTGATTATCACAAATCAAGTCATTAACTAGTAGACTTTTAGAGGAAAGAGATCTTATGTTAAACAGACCGCATTTAATTGTTTTAACTTTTTCCCCAATTGGAGTTATTTTGATTTTAATCAGATTATCATGATTTACTCCTTTGGGAATATTTGCTAATTTATTAGATTTTGGTCGTTGGTCAGACACTGTCTGGATGGAGAAGAGCGTACAGACTGGAGGGAACCCAGAGGACAGGAGGGACGGTTCTGATTGAGACAGGAGAAGGTCTATAGACTCTGGCCTGGTCAGAGGTTCTGGTTCTGATGGACCCACCTGTAGCTGACGGGCAGCCCCCCTGAGCTGCTGCTCTCCTGGATCTTCTCCACCGCAGACGCTATGAGCTCCTCCAGGCTGTGGTCACATGACCCTCCTGCAGCAGAGAGACACCGTTACCATGGAAACCATACAGGTCTGCATTTCAGGACAATGTGTGGATCCAGAACCACTGACCTGCTGCTGATTGGACCTCAGCAGAGTGGGCGGAGCCACAGGGACCTGGATCCAGATGTTGGTGGATGAAGGTGGAGAGGTTCTGAAGCCACATGGACTCCTGCAGCAGAACACATGGGTCAGCTGGTTCTGATCCGTTATTCTGCTGCCTGAAGGAAGAACCAGACCACCTGGAACTAGCTGGACCGAGCGCTCGGTTCTGGCTGGTTAGTTCCAGGTTCTAGACGTTAGCCCGTCTGCGGCGGCCAGGGCTAACGTTAGCCCGTCTGCAGCGGCCAGGGCTAACGTTAGCCCGTCTGCAGCGGCCAGGGCTAACGTTAGCCCGTCTGCAGCGGCCAGGGCTAACGTTAGCCCGTCTGCAGGGGCCAGGGCTAACGTTAGCCCGTCTGCAGCGGCCAGGGCTAACGTTAGCCCGTCTGCAGCGGCCAGGGCTAACGTTAGCCCGTCTGCAGCGGCCAGGGCTAACGTTAGCCCGTCCGCAGCGGCCAGGGCTAACGTTAGCCCGTCCGCAGCGGCCAGGGCTAACGTTAGCCCGTATACACCGGCCAGGGCTAACGTTAGCCCGTCCGCAGCAGCCAGGGCTAACGTTAGCCCGTCCGCAGCGGCCAGGGCTAACGTTAGCCCGTCCGCAGCGGCCAGGGCTAACGTTAGCCCGTCCGCAGCGGCCAGGGCTAACGTTAGCCCGTCCGCAGCGGCCAGGGCTAACGTTAGCCCGTCCGCAGCGGCCAGGGCTAACGTTAGCCCGTATGCAGCGGCCAGGGCTAACGTTAGCCCGTATGCAGCGGCCAGGGCTAACGTTAGCCTGTCCGCAGAGGCCAGGGCTAACGTTAGCCCGTCCGCAGCAGCCAGGGCTAACGTTAGCCCGTCCGCAGCAGCCAGGGCTAACGTTAGCCCGTCCGCAGCAGCCAGGGCTAACGTTAGCCCGTCCGCAGCAGCCAGGGCTAACGTTAGCCCGTCCGCAGCAGCCAGGGCTAACGTTAGCCCGTCCGCAGCAGCCAGGGCTAACGTTAGCCCGTCCGCAGCAGCCAGGGCTAACGTTAGCCCGTCCGCAGCAGCCAGGGCTAACGTTAGCCCGTCCGCAGCAGCCAGAGCTAACGTTAGCCCGTCCGCAGCAGCCAGGGCTAACGTTAGCCCGTCCGCAGCAGCCAGGGCTACGTTAGCCCGTCCGCAGCAGCCAGGGCTAACGTTAGCCCGTCCGCAGCAGCCAGGGCTAACGTTAGCCCGTCCGCAGCAGCCAGGGCTAACGTTAGCCCGTCCGCAGCAGCCAGGGCTAACGTTAGCCCGTCCGCAGCAGCCAGAGCTAACGTTAGCCCGTCTGCAGCAGCCAGGGCTAACGTTAGCCCGTCTGCAGCAGCCAGGGCTAACGTTAGCCCGTCCGCAGCAGCCAGGGCTAACGTTAGCCCGTCTGCAGCAGCCAGAGCTAACGTTAGCCCGTCTGCAGCAGCCAGAGCTAACGTTAGCCCGTCTGCAGCAGCCAGGGCTAACGTTAGCCCGTCCGCAGCAGCCAGGGCTAACGTTAGCCCGTCTGCAGCAGCCAGAGCTAACGTTAGCCCGTCTGCAGCAGCCAGAGCTAACGTTAGCCCGTCTGCAGCAGCCAGGGCTAACGTTAGCCCGTCTGCAGCAGCCAGGGCTAACGTTAGCCCGTCCGCAGCAGCCAGGGCTACGTTAGCCCGTCCGCAGCAGCCAGGGCTAACGTTAGCCCGTCCGCAGCAGCCAGGGCTAACGTTAGCCCGTCCGCAGCAGCCAGGGCTAACGTTAGCCCGTCCGCAGCAGCCAGGGCTAACGTTAGCCCGTCCGCAGCAGCCAGAGCTAACGTTAGCCCGTCTGCAGCAGCCAGGGCTAACGTTAGCCCGTCTGCAGCAGCCAGGGCTAACGTTAGCCCGTCCGCAGCAGCCAGGGCTAACGTTAGCCCGTCCGCAGCAGCCAGGGCTAACGTTAGCCCGTCTGCAGCAGCCAGAGCTAACGTTAGCCCGTCTGCAGCAGCCAGAGCTAACGTTAGCCCGTCTGCAGCAGCCAGGGCTAACGTTAGCCCGTCCGCAGCAGCCAGGGCTAACGTTAGCCCGTCTGCAGCAGCCAGAGCTAACGTTAGCCCGTCTGCAGCAGCCAGAGCTAACGTTAGCCCGTCTGCAGCAGCCAGGGCTAACGTTAGCCCGTCCGCAGCAGCCAGGGCTAACGTTAGCCCGTCCGCAGCAGCCAGGGCTACGTTAGCCCGTCCGCAGCAGCCAGGGCTAACGTTAGCCCGTCCGCAGCAGCCAGGGCTAACGTTAGCCCGTCCGCAGCAGCCAGGGCTAACGTTAGCCCGTCCGCAGCAGCCAGAGCTAACGTTAGCCCGTCTGCAGCAGCCAGGGCTAACGTTAGCCCGTCTGCAGCAGCCAGGGCTAACGTTAGCCCGTCCGCAGCAGCCAGGGCTAACGTTAGCCCGTCTGCAGCAGCCAGAGCTAACGTTAGCCCGTCTGCAGCAGCCAGAGCTAACGTTAGCCCGTCTGCAGCAGCCAGGGCTAACGTTAGCCCGTCCGCAGCAGCCAGGGCTAACGTTAGCCCGTCTGCAGCAGCCAGAGCTAACGTTAGCCCGTCTGCAGCAGCCAGAGCTAACGTTAGCCCGTCTGCAGCAGCCAGGGCTAACGTTAGCCCGTCTGCAGCAGCCAGAGCTAACGTTAGCCCGTCTGCAGCAGCCAGAGCTAACGTTAGCCCGTCTGCAGCGGCCAGGGCTAACGTTAGCCCGTCTGCAGCGGCCAGAGCTAACGTTAGCCCGTCTGCAGCAGCCAGAGCTAACGTTAGCCCGTCTGCAGCAGCCAGAGCTAACGTTAGCCCGTCTGCAGCAGCCAGAGCTAACGTTAGCCCGTCTGCAGCATCCAGGGCTAACGTTAGCCCGTCTGCAGCAGCCAGAGCTAACGTTAGCCCGTCTGCAGCAGCCCTCTCTCTGCATAGCCGTGTGTGAAGTACCGCTGGCTCTGATGGAGGTTTGATTGTTTTTTTTGGTAAAATGTTCATTTGATTTGTGTTTATCTGACTGAGTTCATTATTATTCCTCCACTAAATGAAAAAAGTCAGAATTCATTATTATTTGGGTGTCAGGGTTCTGTGCTCTGCTTACTCTCTGGTGGTTGTTGCTGACAGGTGGGCGTGGCCCCGCACCTGCATGTGGGCCAAACACCTTAAAACCACGACACTAGAGACTATTAATAACAGGAGGTGAAATGCAGCTCAAGAATAGCTTTGAATGTGGTGATGTCATCAGTACGCTTTCGTTCCAATTAACCCTTAATGATTCTGCGTGCTCCTGTTCTCCCAGAATCCAGACTTCGCTGGGTTCTAGTCAAGAACAGACTTGGAGAGGATCTGAGTCAGTACTGACGTTCTAGTGAATTGAAAAATGGATATTGAACTGATGGCACCTGTTTTCAGACATATTAGTTGTTGTTGTTTGTTTCTCTGACTGTGACTAACCAGCCGTCCATGTTTGAGCCCTTGCCTCGCAACGCTGCCAGTTCTGTTAGCTCTACGCCTGCCGAAGACACAGACGTCCATCCCCGTGAACACTGGGACGCAACTCAATGGGAAAGGAAAGGATTCTGGTTTCAAAAAATCATCTGTCAATCAAAAAAATGGACAGATGACGGTTGATATATGATTGGCTGAATTTAGGTGTTCAGGCTGATGGAGAACTGACTGGCCTGCAGGAGATAACGGAAAAAACACAGATTTTAAGACGGGATTTTTTTTAATAGAAATTTTCTAACTTTTGGGACAATCTGGTCTGATAAAGAGAACATTTATACATGTTAAGCTAGAATGATATGACATTTAAATATGACTTTCCTACGACTTAAAGAAGGAAGATGGGAAATAATGAGAATAAAGAAGCATCCTAAGGTCAGAGGAAGCAAGGAGGTAAAGAAGAAGAGGCTGGAAAACTAGATCCAGTAGAAGAAGATCAGAGATGAAGAAGATCCCAGGCTTCCAGCAGGAGGACAGACAGACAGATGGACGTCTGGACAGAACCAATGAACTGAATCCATTCAACAACCTCAGCATCTTCCTCTCCTGCCCACAGTCTCATGGACATCCTGCTGAGGTCTTTCTATATTGTAGACATTTGAAACAAGTTTGTCAGGAAGAGCATCATTGCAGCCAAGCTAAATCCTGCAGGCAGCTGTTAGGACGGCTCAGTGAATGGAGGATGTTTCATAATTCAGATATTAATAATATAGTTTTGACTTTGGTCCAAATTAACTGAAATATCTTGAATATAATTCTGGATGTGACACTTTAACTGATAAATCAGATGACGTCATCTGAGATATCTAAAAATACATTTTAACTCCAAAATGTGATTAAAGATATCTTGAATTGTTATTTTTCCCCAGACATAATATAAAAATATAAAACATCATTAAGGGCAGTAAAATGTAGTAAACAATGTTTGTCTATTCTATTAAAATGTCTGTATCTATATAAATGATCTCTATAATGTGTTTTCTTCTCCATTCAGAGGGCCCCATGCCTGTCTTTGCCTAGGGCCCCACATTTCCTGAATCCGCCCCTGCTTGGATTCTCTCCTCCAGGTTTATCTGTGGTGCCCAGAATGACCCCCCCCCCCTGAGCGCATCGCCCTAAACTCACGCCCCCTGATGAGAAAACAGATGGAAATACGAACAAAAAGGGAAATTTTAAACATATCTTAATGTTTTTATATTTCTGGCACATTGATGCCTTTAAATTGATAGTTTGATGAACAGATAAACATGAATTAACAGAATTCTCCAGGTTTCAGTCGATGTGCTTCAGTCAGTGAATCAATTCTCTGCTCACTGGATGCTGGTTCCCCGTTAAGCTATCAGAACCATTCTAGATCATTTCTGACACGTTATCTGTTCAACTTAGAACCTGCCCCCCCCCCCCCCCCCCCCCCCCTCCTTATTTTCCCATTCCCTCTAATGGCGTCTCTGCCGCTCGGCTGTTCGCTGCTCGTAAATATAAGCTGCCAAATGGGGGAAATATCATCACCATTACTGTTAATATATAATATTAATTTACACATTCAGTGATAAAATGTCGCAGGGGGTGATATGGGGGGGGGGTCATTTCAGCAGGTGCTGCTTACAAAATATTAAAATAAATGAATGAATGAATGAGGTCCTTTAAGCTGTTTTCTGTTTTTTTCAAACACCAAGATAATCTGACTGTTTCCAACTGAAACAGACAGATTAACTGAAAAATAAACCTGAAAAATAAACTCAGCCATCAAACCCAGTTTTACAACAAGTAGTGAGTATTCATCACTTTTCACTGCTGATATCAGAGGATGGAAACCAGCTCACAGCAGGACGCAGAAAATAATACTTGATGTAGAATATGACAGATTACTGGATTAAGGATATTCCTAGTCTACTACATGCTATAGCACATCAGGATTTTAGAGAATCTGGAAACAGTAGCTAGTTATTTCCTAAAGATATGGGAGGAGAGGAGAGAATGGAGATTACAGCTGAAATAATCTGTTCCTCCTTCATAACCTGGGATTAAATTAATTCACCATAAATAATCTGTTCCTCCTTCATAACCTGGGATTAAATTAATTCACCATCAACTCTTTAACTGTGTTTATTTCTCTCTTCATCAACAACAAACTCTGTGGATTTGGTGACATTTGATCATTAATAGCCAGAGTTATGAGAGAATCAAATATTTTAGCTGTCTGATATAATCTGCTCCTTTGATGATCTCTATAACAATCTGATGAAATAGATTTTCTGTTTAAATGTTTATCAAACAATTTTCCAATATTCCTAAAAAAGTTCAAACCAAACCAGTGGACTTGGTTTTCTAAGTTTGAAGATGATTCTCTTTGTGGTTTGTTATATTTATACCTAAATAAATGTTTGTTTATCTGGAGCGTGTAACACAGTGATTTCTCTCTGGGATTATTAAAGTTTATTAAAGTTTATTAAAGTTTTTCTGATTCTGATTCTTTCTATTCAGAAAGATTTTTCTGCTACTGCAGACATTTGGAATTAAAATATAAAGATTAACAGTCTGATTTATTTGAACTATTCTGGTTTTTAAAATATAAAATAATAAATGTTTCAAACATAATATAGAAAAATAATGACAGATTTAAACTTCACAGGATTTGTTTATTCTCCTCCTTTAATAAATAATAATGATCAAATGTCACCAAATCCACAGTTTGTTGTTGATGAAGAGAAGAATGAACATGGAGGAGGAATTATTATGTGTGATAGAATGTAGCAGACTAGAAATGTCTTTAATCCAGTAATCTGTCATATTCTACATTAGAACATCTGGATTAACCTCTAACTCCACACCCTTATCTTCACCCTAACAGCCCTAGATCTAGAATCCTAGATCCTCTCCTGGTAGATCCTCTCCTGCGCTTCTAACTGATCTCCTCTCATTCTAACCAAACTCTGGACCTCTTGGTTCCGATCATCAGAACCGAATCGAACAGGTAGAATCTACTGACCGCCTCACTGCTGGTTCCGACCCGGTCCATGAAGCTCTGCAGGGCGGCCATCCTCAGCACCACTGGAGGCTGGAGAGCTGTGGAGAACTCTGGTTCCGATCAACTGGGCTGAAACAGCAGAACCTGCAGCCGAACTCTGGTTCCGATCAACTGGGCTGAAACAGCAGAACCTGCAGCAGAACTCTGGTTCCGATCAACTGGGCTGAAACAGCAGAACCTGCAGCAGAACTCTGGTTCCGATCAACTGGGCTGAAACAGCAGAACCTGCAGCAGAACTCTGGTTCCGATCAACTGGGCTGAAACAGCAGAACCTGCAGCAGAACTCTGGTTCCGATCAACTGGGCTGAAACAGCAGAACCTGCAGCAGAACTGCGGAGCAAGAACCGAAAGTAGCGCTAAAAGTTTCTCCTTCTGTGGTTAAAGAGGCTGAGAGCCGCAGCGCCGCTGCAGCACCGCCCCCTGCTGGACAGGAGAGGAAACGGCAGCCTGAAATCATTTAACTAATTTAATCCCTGATTAATCTGGTTGTAGCCGGAAGTAAAGTGCTGCACACTCTTCCTGTTGCCCATATATGGAAGAAGCTCTGGCACCTGGTTGGTTGGTGAGACATGTAATCAGGGTTTACATTTCAAAGCAGGTAGCACTAGTGAATTATTGACAATATGTCAGCTTTAGCTGCTTGATGATGATGTTAGAGAAGGAAAATGTTATATGATTGCATCAGATAGTCAAGCTACATTATTAATTATCAAATCTGGCAAAGCTTAGATTTATTATTAGATATAAATCACCTATTAGTTCAGCAGCATTAAAGCATTCTACCTAGTCACATTTCTATCATAGATAGCACTAAAGCATTCTACCTAGTCACATTTCTATCATAGATAGCACTAAAGCATTCTACCTAGTCACATTTCTATC